GTACTCTGGCGAGGCTTACCTCCGGCACGGGCTTAGAGGGGTCCAAGCTTCGGTGACCCCTCGCTCTCTCCCAAGCCGGGCAGGGATCCTTCGCTGCAGTGTCAGCTGCCGCTGCCATCAACCTGCGAGGGCGGAGCCGGGGCTCCAGAGCGGGGCGGGACAGGGCAGGGAGGGGCGGGGCCGGGCACCTCACCCTTCCCTCTTAGTCCAAACCTTAGCTGCCTCCCCAAACCTTGATCCGTCCAAGGGCTCCTGGGGGGGGGGGAAAGCAGGGCACCCCTCCTGCTTCCAACTAGCTCAACTTTTTCCTTGATCAGAAAGGGAAACTGAGGAACGGATTTCTCCAGACCTTCTGCCTCCCGCAGTGGTCTGGGACTCCTCGATAAGGGAAGGCGAGGAGCCCCGGGTAGGTCTCTATCAGCTAGGGGCGCCCGCACAGCGCCCCAGGGGCCTCCTCCATTGCTGGCCTGGCCGCAGGGGCAGACAGAGATCAAGGGCATCCGCAGCCGCCGCATTCCAGCCACAATTGCGCTCCCGATTTAGCTCTGCGGGGCGGGACTGGGGCAGGAAGGAGGAACATCGAGCGGCCAGGGGAGGGGGAGGGGCAGGCTGCAGTGAGGGCGGGGCCCTTCCTAAAGGCGAGAGAGAACGTTCACCCTAATCCCTCCTCACACTTCTCCCCAGTCCTAATACTCATCCCGCCACGAAGTAGAGGTGGGCAGTTACAGGAAGGCCAGAGCCTCCCGGCGCTCTGTGGCAGCACACTGTTAGGCACCCCAGCCCCCAAATTCAGTACATGCCTTACTCTTCAGCTCCTCCCCAGTGCTCCAGCGCGGAGGCTGGTAGACAGCAGAGGAGGGAAGGTTTAAATAGAAGGCTACGATACTAGGACTGCAGATTTTAAGGCGCCCTGAGAAGAGGCAGGCGAGCGCAAAACTGGCCCCCTGTGATTTCACATCATTCTGGATGTCCGTGTTTCCCACAGGACCTAAGGCTTTGGGAACACGAGCCGGGGGGACAAAACCTTGGGCGTAGGCTTTATGGGGCGGGGGTGGGGCGCGTTTGTTGTTTCAGTTCCAGGCAATGACACCGGCAATACGTTGGGTTGGGTAGGCCCTTGGCCCGAATCCTAGCGGGCTCTGTCGGTACCCCCCAGCTCCCACTGGCAGCGGTACTTAACAGGCGAGTAACAACTGTTGAACGAAGGCAGAGAGAAAAACAGGCAACCTTGAACCAATCTCCCTTACTTTCTCTTCTGTAATCAAGGAAGATAATGGGGAGCTTAAGGGGCAGAGGGCGTAAACTAGAGGTCATCGGTCGGATTATTTTGGAGGGGAAGGGGGAAGATTAAGGAGTGTCTGGTGACCCTTCCAGTGCTGGGGAAACCTTCAGGGGGTTCACAAGATGCGGGGAGCCATATACAGCCTTTGGGCAAGGGAAGGGAAGGCTTTGCTTCATTTGCTGAATGAAAGATTGGGTTAGAATAGGGAATCTTAATAAGGTCGTTGAACTTGGTAACTGTATTTTAACATAACTGGTTCCCTTGATAATCCTGTGTATTTTGTGTTTAAAACCATGATTCTGAGAAAGGCTCCATAAGCTTCACCAGACTGCCTGCCAGAGAGGTTCAGACACACAAAAGAACCCCTGGGCTACAATGTTCTTTACGATTCTTTCCAACTCTGAATTCTATGATTCTGTGAATGTACATCTCTCTCTCTCAGAGTCCACAGAAAATAAAATTCCCAATACCTGGTCTGCTGGCTGGGGTCCACTGCCTGCATCTTTCTTTTCAAAATGGATTGTAAACCCCTGGAGGGCCGATTGTTTCTCTCAGAGTACATTGTGTGGAAAAAACCCTTCCCAAGGGTGGGGAGACCAGAAAACCGGCACCTGCTAGAGGTCCAGTTATCTGCTGCAGGTCTTTTCTTTCCTGCTTATGGGAAGGGCCAGTGAACCATGATCACATCTTTGTGTCCTAAAGCCTGAGGTCCTGTGGGAACCTTCAGACCTAGAGGTGAAATCATACCGGGCTAGTTTCTCCCCCATTCCACTGCCTCTTCTCAGTGCTCTAAATGGGACCCTAGCCTGTCCCTGTTCCTTGTTGTTATTCATTTGTTCAGTCATGTCCAGCTCTTTGTGACCCTGTGAACCCCAACACACCAGGACCTTCTATGCCATTTCCTGAGGTCTGTCCAAGCTCATGAGTTGTAGTTGGCCAGTCAGATCAGTGATTATAGACCCGATGCACAGTTGACCTAAACGGAGAGGACATGGGTGGATGGGTATGAGAGGAGTTTCTTTTCTATATTTAAAGATCTTCAAGGAAGGTAATTTAGGGAAGAAAGGACTGGTTGACCAACTGCTCTGAGCAGTAGGAATGGGAGAGGGTAGTGGTGGGGAGTGAAGAAAACAGGGAGTTGGAGTCAAACAATCTGAATTTTATTTCCAGAGGCCTGGGGCAAATCACTTTCTGTCTCTGATTCTGTTTCTTCATCTGCAAAATGAGGTTCTTAAGCTTTTTCAGTGTGTCCTGGATGCCTCTGGCAGTGTTTGGTGATGCCTGTGGATTCTTTCTCCAAATCATGTTTTTAAATAATTGAAGGAAATGGTAAATTCCAGTTAGAGGTTAGTGAAAATAAAGATGTAATTTGTTCTCCCATCCAAGTTCATGGAATCCCTCAACTCTATGCACTGACCCCCAGGTTAAGAACCCTTGGACCAAATGGTCTCTTCTAACTAAATTCTAAGGTCCGCGGAACCGTTGCGCTGTTCTGCCTTGGAGATTCAATCTGCAGCCTCCGACTGCAACACTGTCCACATCACTAGTGCTCCTTAGAGTATAAAGCTTGCTTCCTTATTCTTTTTTCTTTTTTTTTAATGTAAAGAGCCAGGTGCTCCATCCCAGGAAGGGGGTCTGGGGCTGTCTCCAGCTTCACCCTTGTGCTGGAGTGGAGTAGTTCAGGCACAAGAGAAATGACTCAGTCCCTGGGCCCAAAGAGGCAGGAACAAACCAACTTTGCCAAGTGGTCCAGTTCCAGCTCCTCCACCCAAAGGCCCTGCATGCTCACTGCAGGACTCTCCCTGCACTGGGTAGGCAAAGCCAAGACAGGCAGAGCCAATCAGGGCTGAGCAGGAGGCTGGCCAGAGACTCCATCCTCTTCTACTCCTGCCTGCAGAGGCAGCTTGGACCTGGTCAGCACTGGGGAAGAGGCACATTCATTTTATCTTTCTTTTGTTTAAAGCCACTCAGACAGTGGGGATCTAGGTCATTTTGTCTAGGCTAGAAAGCTGAGGCTGATCTCATGTGAGCTTGCCAGGAGGCCTCAGGAGGACCCCTGGGGGTTTGCTGGGGATACCCAACTTTACCACCTCCCCAAATGATAAGGCACCGCCCACAGGACAGAGGCACATCCCTCAAGCCATCTTGGCATGTGTTCAGCCTGCACCTCCTATTTCCTGCCCAAGGCCCAGCTTCTATTATGCAATGGGGATGTTTTAGAGAAAACTGGTTAGCTTCCACTTTCTTTAGAAACTAGCTTATCATCTCACACTAACCTGTCCTTGCCTTGAACTTAGTAATAACTGAGATTTATAATGTGCTTTATTAAGATTTGCAATGTGTTATCTGTTCCTCACATTCTCTCGAGCTAAATACTTCAGGTGGTATTGTCTTGTGACAGACAGAAGAGGGAACTGAGGGCAGAGAGGGCTCTTCACTTCCCACCTGCCACATTGCTTTTGGATGTCTCCAACATGCCTTCCCTCCCAGGAAACTCAGCATTCTGCTTTGAGCTCGAATCTGCCTAGGATCCTCTATGACTGGAGGGCCAGGCTCTGGGCTCTGGGGTTTGACACCTTTTTCTCCCTCTTTCCCACCAGCCCCCTGCTTTCGGACTTCTTTGACACTCCAACGTGCCCTTACCTTTTCAGCATTCTTTGGTGGAAAAATCTCCCGATTAGACTGTAAACTCCTTGAGGGTAGGGACTCATTTTCATTGGTATTTGCATCCCCAGCAGTGCCTGGCATGTAAAAGTGTGGCTGACTGAAGTGGTTTGCCTTGGTCACACAGACCAGTAAATGGAAGAGCAGGGATTTAAGACCAGCTGTCCTGACTCCCAGTCCAGTTTTCTTTTCATCCCATCTTGTTGCCTCTCACTTCTAAGTAGGGCGTGCCTCCCTTGCACGTGGGGCAATGGTACCCACAAAAAATTCGGTAGCACATGAGGCAGAAAGCTGGAAAAGAGATGCTGCTGATGTGTTTTTCTAGGACAGGACACCCACCCCACCCAGCACAGCTCCACCCTCAGAAGTCATATTCCCTTGTCTGCCGCATCATCTTCCCACACCTTTCTCTCTTCACGGAGGGAGCTGGGAAGCTTTTGCGTCTCTGGTGGCCACATCTCATTTCTTTGTGGGACATCACAGGACCAAGGTTCCCAATGGGATTGTGACTCAGATGTGAGTATTCACTCCATGGATACATGGAGTGAATGTATGCCTCCCATAATTTCCTACTCTGTATACCTCCTTCCTGTCCAGCACTTATGGGCCACAGCAGCTCTCCACCGGACTGAGAGGTTACACTCGGCCCTAGAGTTCAGCCACTTCTGGGGTGCGTTAAACCCACAGGTAACAGGTATCCTGGCAACAGGAATTCTGGCTTGTATATTCAAATCTTTGACTTGGCCAAAGCCAAGTTACCAGCCTTGGGAGTCAAAGGTAGTCAGTCACCTGACCAGACAGGCTGATTGAAAAGGTGCAGCTGCCTTGCTTCTTTTAAGACACCATTTCCTGACCTAACATCTTTTCTGGATATAAGGACTATAGTTATATCTCTCCTGACCCACAGCCTCCTATTAAAAGTATATTGGGAATCCAAGTTCCAAGCGCTCTCCCTCTGTCCTAGGCCGCCCACCCCCCTTCCAAGGGCAGATACAGTGGGTTCTGCGTCTCCAAATGCAGCCAACACCTACTGCACAATTTACACAAATACAAGTTTCATCTTCAAAATAAAAATTTATTCAATCTGTAACAAGAACATTGAATCTGCACATCAGTGCACAAGTTCACATTTAAAAACAGCGGAGCACACTGGTAATAAAAATCTATGGTACAGGTGGGACGTCCCAACCACCAGGGGAGATCAAGGAGAGAAACAAGGCCAGTGGCTTTTATGCTCTGCTTTAACCGACTTGGAAAGGTCCCCGAGATTGCAGGGAGCACCTGCTTTATTGAAAAGCACACACACACACACACACACACACACACACACACACACACACACACACACAAGTGTGGAGGGCTAGGTGTTAGGGGAGGATGGAGGAAGAGGGTCTTCGGGGGCTGAATTTCCACATTCACAACAATTCCTACAATTCTGTCACATCTGAAGAAAGGAGAAAAGGCCCAGCCATCACGGACTTTGCCAAGGAAACCAAAAGTCAATGAGAAAGACAGAAAGCAGAATCACTCTGGGTGCATATTGGTTGGGGACCATTTCTGAGTCACACTGCCCAGTTCTGTTTGGTGCCCTGGAAATGTGGAGAAAAAGGCAGGCATTGGGTCTTCATCACGTACAGGCCTCAAGCTGCTGTTTTCTATCACCATAAAGCTGGGTGAAGCAGAAGAGATGCCTTTTGGGGGTTCTTTCAGCTGAAAGAGAGACCCAGTGTGGGCATCCTGTCCTCGATCTCTGAGAAAATAAGGTTGGCTCTCTTTCCAAAGTCAGAGGTGGACTCCATCCTCCTCTTTCAGGCTGGGAAAATACAAAAGCACCTTTAAATTGCTCCCTCCCCAAGACATGGCAGGGGTGGGGGGCATGAGGTGGGGGTAAGTGTGCAGCTTCCTCTTCACTGGCAGGGCCATCCAAAACTCCCTCAAAGGGGTATTGTGTTTGCCAGTTAGCCACACTTGGCCTCAGAGCAGGGCTGATCACAGCTGCAATTTGGAAGAAACACTAAAGCCCAAATTGCCTTTAAGCTGGATTGGTCTGAAACAAAAAGCTAGGAATCTCACTTTGTCCACCACACCAGAGAATGACCAAATTAAAGGAAGAAAAGACAACAGCCATCCACCATCACAACCATCACTAAAATCACACACTGCCACTGAGGGACTACTGATGGACTACTTCCTATACAGCACAGTGAGACTGGAGTGCAGCAGGGCATCATGGGGAAAAAAAATCAGTTCCAGGCTTCGCACGCTAATCTGTGAGGCCTGACCATCATGGCAGCGGTGTGGTTTTTGTGCAAGGGCTCAGGGCATGCTGTGACTTCCAGTATAGCCACTGCTGGGTGACTCGGGGTCAAGGGGAACAGCACAGTGAGACAGAATACACATTTTAATATTCACAATGTAAACAATCAAGGGTCCTCCAGCAGGTTCCTTAAACAGCTGAAAACCAGCTTTGTACAAAAAGAAAATGACCTTCAGAACATGACCTCTTTTTGCTTCGTGGGTTACTCCTTGTGGGTTCTCTCATGTAACACTGACTCGGTGTTACTCTGGACCTGAAACTCCAAATAGAGCAGGCGAGGGTTTCTCAAATTCTGCTACATTCCAGGAAATAAATATCTTTTCTCAGAGAAATCCCCAAGGAAACTTCAGCTCACTCTAACTGTATCCACACAGGATGTCCACAAGCCCAAGAGACATCAGCTGGGAAGAAAGACAGAATGAGGCAGGGCTGAAGCACCTGGGATGCCAGCAATGCTTCCTTTCCGAACCCTAAGGGCAACAGTATTAAGAGAGGACTCAGACAACTGAGCATTACTACACTGTAGTATTTTAGTTTAACAAAACAACTACAAAGTTGTGATGGTTCTCTTCTGCCGAGACCATTTATAAGTCTTTCTAAAACTCAAAAGATTTCAGGGACAGCTCAAAGCTTCTGGTTGCACTTGGGAGACCCCCTGGATACCAGATAAATGTCATCCAGTGTAGAAGAGATGATTCCAGTGATTATTTTTAAAGGTGAATCTGATTAACTTTTAGATATTCACACACAAAAAGGAAAGCCATTGTGGAAGAATGGGGCCAGAGAGGCCACAAAGACTTTCCGGCCCAGCTCTGCCAATCTGCCCAGATGCAGAAATCTCAGCGCTGGGTTTTCCATGAATAAGAAAGACAGCGGGCCGAGGTAAAACAGGGTTACTGTAGATTGGAAGAGATAAAGGCGTGACAAGTCCCACTTGACATACAACTGTTCATGGACCTCCGTGGGGCTGCTCTAGAACAACCCTGGGGGAGGGCTCCTGCTCAATCATGTCATGAGATGAGAATCCTCTAATGGGACAGATGGACCTCTGGGAAAACCGCATGGCACGTCTGAATGAGAAACCTAACCAGGGACACTCAGCTGAACAAGGAAACCAAACCACAAACAAGAATTCAGCCAGCAAACCGAAGGCAGAGGCCCTGTCCTGTACTCCTCCACCCAAAGAGTGGCTTCACCTGTGACAGTCTTCCTTCTGTATTTCTACAGCAAGAAGCTCCTTGTCTATAAAGGGAGGAGAGTTAAAAAGACTCACAATCCTGCTCCTTAGGATCTGGGCCATCAAGGAGTTAATGAGAAGCAGCTCCTCTCCATCTGTCACGTTTCTCTCTCTCTCCCTCTCTGTCTCTCTGTTTCTCTGTTTCTCGTCACTTATTACCTGCCTGGCTCTTTTCCTGTAATCACATCGGTGGTGGGTAGGGCCTGAATGATAAGACTGCATAGTTTTCATGGAATCATCGTACATCTGGCACTGTGCGAGGGCTGCAAATACGAGCCCTCTCCTCCCTGGCCCCCGCACACAGACAGGCTCCATTCAAGAACATTCTGCAGCCCAGTCAACATCCAGGAATCACATGAGATGAATCACAAAGTCCTGCGTGCATGTCACCTGTCTGAACATTTAAAGGAAGTGGAGGAATGCAGCGACAACCCACTCACAGACCACAGAGACCTCCTTAGGAGGAGGTTTCTTTTTAGCCATGGCCACTGGCAGTGACTGTAAGCCACTGACGTGGCTTCCAAGAGACAAGTGGATTAAGGCTCTGCCACAGGGTCAAGTGACCTCCCTGGTCCCACCCTCCCGCCGACCTCAGGGTCACCTAAGCAGTTTGAGTTCCACTGGAAGGCTTCACTCTCAAGGGCTGGATTCAGTCAATGCTTCTACAATGGGGATTTCAATCAAGATGAAAGGCAGGAAGACGAACTGTGAGTCCCTTCGGTTTGGATTTATCCTGCTGGGCAAAAGAGGTTTACAAGGAGCTAAGACAGGGATTTCACGTGAAGCTGCTGAAGGGAGGCAAGGGTACCTATTCATGATGCCCACAGGCAGCTGTCCTGATGGCTGGCCAGGCTGTGGGTCCTCTCCCACTGCCCTCAGCTCCCAGCCTCCACTAGGATTTTAAACACTGGGTGGTACTACTCTCCAAATTCTCTCTGGCCATGGTTCAATTACTGGCAAACTCAGCCTTCTGGAATCTCAGGCCCAAGAGAAATCAACTTTGTGCTTAAGGCCTCTAGGGGCTTCTCTGAGAGAAAGGAAATGCTATACCATTTGGGAGAGTTCTGGTGGTGGCTCAAGGTCTTACTTATACAATTAAAACCACCGTCACCAAGTCATGAAGCGGGGCGGGAAGGCCCCCAACACCCACAGAGCTGCTCTGAGATGACATCTTTGTGGACATTTTCCAGTTACAGACCACAGTCTTGCTCCATTATAAGCAAAACAAAACAAAACCAAAAACACATATGCACACACCAAAAAAAAACTGTAAGAAAATAACAAAAATTATCTACATAAATATTGTATATACAATTTAGGAAAATGACAAAACTTCTAGGAAAGGAAAAAACCTTTCGTCAAGTGTTAACAGTGACAATATAGAAAAGAAAGCTTTGCATCTGAAGGAGGCTATACACCTGTAATGTAACAATTCAAATGTTTCCTATGAAATGATAAAAAAATACCCACAAAACATAGGCAGCATTGGAGGAAACATGGTGTGGGGAAGAAAAATAAATTGTAGGGGAAACATACGGCCATTAAACTCAGAAGGCCCACAGCAGTATTCAAGTAATGAAAGGGTTAAAACCCTACAGACAGTTCATTTTAAAAGAACACTTCATCTTTCCATTGCTGTTTGTATTATCTTTTCTATGGATTAAGAAGGGGGTGGGACACAGACTCATCTCACAGAAAGGACAGGCCGGGTTCACTAGATGGGACTGCTAGGGCTGTCTCCCGACCTGCGCACCTTGGGAGGCCCTCTTCACCAAGGGAGGCCTTTTTCTGATTTTGTTCTGGAGCCCCAAGAAGCTGTTTAATAAATCAATAAATCCTGTCATTAACTATGTCCTTCAGCAATACACGGTACAGCTAGAGCTTTATGTGAATGCTCCCTTTTAAGTCAAAGCAGAAGCCACCCATTCACCGAACAGTCTCTACCAGCCCAGGGCCTGGTGTCTGCGAGTTCTGCTGCCTCTCCACATGACCCATGTGGCCAGGCCTGAGGGTCAGAGCATGGTCAGAAAGGCCCTTAGGTTGGGCTTTGCCAATTTCCCCCTCCTCTTCCTCCACTTCCCCCTGCCTCTCTATTCATCAATCACCTTCCCCTCCCTGGCCTTGTAGGCATGCACATCTCAGACTGAGAGATGAGAAACAGGGGTAGCTGACTGAAAAACAGCAATTTGCTTTTGATGGTGTTCTTTGAAAATGAGGTGTTTCTTCTTTTTTTGAGGTTGTCTGAGTTTCTTTAAAAAACAAAAACCAAAAAACCCCCAAAGATAAAATAGTCTCGCAGTCCATGTCACACACAGAAAACCTAAACCCTGCATGCGCCAGCAATAGTAAAATGACCAAAACATAGAAAATTAACCAATAAAGTGCATGTTCCTTACATATTACACCTGCCCCTTTGACAAACACATATCTCCCTTGAGGAGGCCTGGCTGGGCTCCGGATCACATGGTGTTATAGAAGGGACTGGGCGTCCGCCTTTTGCCACTGGACTTTCTGAGTTTCCCAAGAGGCTGAGTTCTCCCATGCTGCAGCAGCTCAGCTACAGTCAGCCCCGGGCTTGGGCTCGGAGAATCGAATTCCTGCTGTCTCTGGGGCAAGGGAAGGCCCCCACCAGAACTAGTCAATTCATGTTCTGCACTGGGAAGCAAACACTGCTGAGCTGACCCCAGCTCTTTGGCATACTGCACCAGAGGCCTCTCAACCGGCTTGCTCTGGGCCATACACTCCGCCATTTTCAGTTGCTCTACAAAATATGTGGTGGGCTCTGGGTGCTGGGAAATGGGTCTGAGCCTTGTTGAGGGCTCTTCCAGGGTGGGCCCACCTGGGCCCGTCCTGATGAAGGACTGGAGGAGGTCAGGATGAGGGGCTTCTGGAGACACCAACTCTACCTCAGACAAAGCACTTTTATGCAGATTCAGGTGCCCCAGCCTCGCGAGAGAAGCTGAACGCTTCATCTGGGACGGTCTGGTGAGCCCTGCCTGCCGAAGGACTCGGGACTCCATTTCTTTCGAATGCCTTTTCACCACCCTGACACTTTGGCTGAGGTTCTTTATGCTGTCGTTACTGGAACTATGTGGGAGACCGCAGGGTGCACACGGGCCCAACATCTCATGGATCTCCTCCATGTTCCCAGCGAGGTGGCTGACCGCTCTGAGGTCTTCACTGCCCCAGTGGCCCAGAGTGCCCTCAGCTTCCCTGGGGAGCACTGGGATACTGCCGGAGGCACGCTCAGTACAGCAGCTCTGCTCTGACGAGGGCTCACTGTCCGTGGTGCTGCTCTCCTCAGTCACCCCTTCTAGGCGAAGGACGGCTTGGGGATGTGTGTAATCCAAGCCGGCTGACGGTAAGCGGCCTGCACGACTCACAAAAGGAGCCGTCGTCCCTGGAGGAGAAGGAGGACTGGACTCCTCTTCCTCGGGACTGCCCAGAGTGAAGGCAGCATGGGGAGCTCCATCACGCTTAAGAGATGCAGGGTTAAGCAGAGGTAGCGTTTGAGGGCGCAGAGAAGCTAGTTCTGGGCACAGGGTGGTGTTGAGATTTTCATCCACGGTACACATCACGGTGATGGATTTCTCCACCATGACTGTCTTCAGCTCTGGTTCCCCATTCTTTTCTGCTGCAGCCATGTCAAATGTTAGGTCAGGGGATGTCACCATGGGAGTGTACTCGATGATTTCAAACCTTTTGGGAAGATGGTCCGGAACAGGCTTTTTCATGGACTCCAGGGGCTCCTTGGACACCTCTCCCTGCTCTTCTCCAACATCTGCCAGTGGACGCTCTTGAGAAGCTGGGCTGGGCTGGAATCCTAGCAGCACAGATGCCTGTGTGTCAGGCACCTGGTCAGGCTGGGGAGGGAAGGCCTCCGCCACGTTGTCTTTTGTCTTGGCCCTGCTCAACTCCCGTTCCTCAGGCCCCAAGGCAGGTTCTGGAGCGAGCTCTTCATTCTTGCCTCTTGGTGTTACATCAGGCACAGCAGAATCATTCCTGGAGTTCTTGCGAGTCGGCAGAGTGCCGAGGGGGGCAGCCCCAAGGTGTTCTTGTTCCTGTCTCAATCGCTCTTCAAACTCCAACGTTGCCCGCCTCACAGACCCCGGGCACCATTTGGGCGCTGGGTTCAGACCTGGGCCTTGTGACTCTGGGTCTTCCTCAGCTGGATCCCCTTCTTCTGAGTCTTCCAGAGGGGTCGGTGCCATCAGCACGGCCTCCTGCTCTGCCTTTGCCAGCTCAGGCTGTGCTATACGTATTCCCTCCTTGTGGTCCAGGTGGGCAGGTTTACTCTCGGAGGCACAGGCTGCCTCAAAGAATGGCAGTTCATGGATGGTGTTTCTCTTTGGCGTTTGGCATGGGTTGGACAGGACATCCACCTTCTGTTGACACTGCCCGATTCCTTGATTGATGGATTCAATTTCGGTGATAATTTCTTTCACTGAAATTGCATTTTCTGAGTGGAATTGCATCACGTCCTCTGGGCTAACCATTTCGGAGATATCCTAAGAGAAAAAAAGAGAAATATTTACAGTAACTTACAGTTTGGTTGAAAGTGTACATTTTCCAGTTTCCTGATTCTAGAAAGATAATCTACTTAACCATAAATACGTAGTAAGAAATCGTGTGAGGCTTCCACAATTATTTGCTTTGGGGCCAAGGAAGATGCTTGGTCATTAAAATGACAGTGGTCAGGCTCCTACTATCTGCTAAACTTTTCGTGCAGTACGCCCCCTATCCCCTGCCCTGGCCTGCTCCTACAGCATGCATGTCAGAACCACCTTCAGGGTCGGCACTGCCTCTGAGCTTCCTGCACCCCTGGCCCCCTCAGGCAGTGAATAGCCGGGGCAAATGACAACATTCATCTCCACCTCTCCCAGCTTCGGTGAAGCTGTCAGCCAGTTCCATTTGAGGACTGGACTCTATTCTCAGCGGTTCAGGGTTGGGGACAATCCAGACAGGTGGAGGTGTCCTTCAGCCACTGAACTTCTTAGGAGTCTTTTCATTCCCAATCTCACCAACCTGCAAGTCTGGAGAGGGGATGCAGGGAGAGCTGACCAATAAATTACCACTAAGCTTCATGTGGCTGCTTTTACATGAGGCTTACCCGGTGAGTTTCTACATTTTTGGGAATCTTGACTATGTGTATTAGTAAACTTAAACAACCAATTCATACCCTTTACCACTTTACTAGCAATGTATTCTCAAGCGGCTTCTCTGGCAAATGCCCAGTCAGCCCCTACTCTAGTCAGACACGCTCATTTCAAGTGATGGGAATCGCCCGAAGGGCCCTGGGCTTGGAGGACTCTGACGGAGCACTGCTATGATGAGAGCTTTGGGAAAAGCTGGAGAAGCCTTTAGGACAAGCCGTCTTCCTAAGAACTAGCCTGGGCCTTCTTCACAAGACAGAAACCAAGAGCACCAACTAACGAGGGCTAGCCAGGCCTGTGGGGGCATCTGCTTGGAATGTCAGGTGGAATCAAACGTGCCAAGCAGCACGGTGCATCACAAGCCTGGCGCCACACTGGCCTGCACAGACAGAATTCGGAAGGAGATGTCTTTGCAGAAAGGAGATTTTGGTCAGGGTTGAAGGGGGTCATATTGGGTAGGGGCTGGACCAGACAGCCCCCAAACTGCCCTTCTGGTCTGAAACTTTGTGGTTCTGTGACTATGATCATGGGAAGAGCTGTGAGCCAAGTGGTCTAAAGACCAGTTACAACATTCTGACCTCTTAACAGAAAAGGGAAAGAGACATAACACATGGAGGAGTGGCTGGACACAAGTGGAGGTGCCCACTCTTCCACTCTGAAGAAACCCCCAAGATACTTAATAAAAATCGTTATCTAGCATTTATATAGGGCTTTAAGGTTTGCAAAGCACTTTACAAACAGCATTTCATTTGATGTCCCAAGAACCCTGGGAGGTGAGGGCCGCTATGCCCATTTTGTAGCCGAGGAAACAGAGGCAAACAGAAGTTAAGTGGCTTTGTCGGGCTCACAAAACTAGTAAGTGTTTGATGCTGGATTTGAACTCAGGTTTTCCTGACTCCACGTCCAGTTTCCTATCCATTGTGCCCCGGGTGAGTGGGAGGGGGTAGCTAGACACCCAGTACCACCAGGACCGCAAGGCGTGCAGTGAGATCTCTGTGCATCCCCCTGTTATGTCCTCTCTTCTCCCATTCCCCTTTCAGGATCCCAGATTGGCTGCAGAGGGTTCCCAGAGGGCACTGAGCAGTGATCTTGGACTCCAGGTTGCTCTTTGAGAAATTTCCTCCAAGCCAACTGCCTGCCCATCCTCTGAGGGTCCACAGTGAGACCAATTCAGCCAAAGGAGGCCTTTGGCATGTGGCACCAGACACTGCCTTCACTTTCCGTGCACGTCAATAACCTCGGACACTGAGTCTGCTCTTGGCTGACGGGGACTTTCTCACTGAGGGGCAGGCTCTTAACTTAACTTAGGGAGAGCGTCTGAATGTGGTATTCGGACGGCAGAGACGTGTGCCCTGCCCTGCACAGGCAGGCAAACCTCCTTCCCGGGTCTGCTCAGCTGTGCTCACCTGCCCTGGCCAGAAGAGTTTCCAACAGGCCTGAAGGCCCACACAAGAACCTAACAAAGAGCAGTCACACACTTGGGAAGCCTGCCTCAGCTCTGGGGCTCCACCCAGCTCCTGCCCAGCTGCACCTGGGTCAAAGAGAACCTCTAGAGCATTTAGGCCCTCAGCCTGTGAGAGCCAGCATGCCACTGAGGCTTACCTTTGGCTGGTCTTCATCCATGGAAGACTCTCCTGACACGTGTGGGGTGTTGCTCGAGCTGCTGCTTCTCTGCCCCTCGGGGGTCGCCTCGGATGCGGCCGTTTCCAACACTGATAGTCGGACTCCGCCATTTCTCCCCCCACCTGCTTCCTCGATCCTGGAGTGGGAGCAGGAGCGGGGTCGAGTCTCCTGGGAGAGCTCCACAAACTTCTCTAGGGCACTGAAAAAATCAATGCGGTCGGTACTGAAGTCTGGTGCCTCAGCCTGGGAACTGGGCTGGGGACCAGGCGAGTCAGGCTCTGGAGACACAGGCAGGTCTCTCAACCGCGACGTCAGCTCTTCCATGGGGAGTAAGTGGACGCTGATGTCTGTCTTTAGAGCATCCGTCTCCAGATCTTCCACCGTTAAGTCCGGGAACTGTGTGGGGATCTCCAAGGAGTTTTCAGGCTGGGTTAAGGCTTCAGATGCGTGGCAGTTGTCAAGAGGAAATTTGGATTCACTCAGGCAACAACCTGCTGAACACCCATTAATGTTATTGAGATTTAATTCGTCCTCTATTTGTCCCGTATGAAACTCTCTAGACGTAAACTCTAGGCAGATCACTCTCTCTTTGGTGCACAGCTCGTGCGTGTTCCCATCTTGGGGGAGCCTGCGCTCCACAAAGACAGGGGCCATCGGGGCGTGGCTCTCCACAGTCTTTGCCTCGGTGATCTGGTCTGCTGAAGTGGTGATCTCCTTCCTGTTTAACTCCATCCCTGATTGGCAGATTGGCTCGTGGTGGTCCGAGAGGTCGCTGTCTGAGTGAGAGCGCCACAGCTTATTGTGCCGCTGTTTGCTGTTGAGGTAAACAGGGAAACAGCTTTGGTTAGTGCTGGAAAACAGCCAAGCCCAAGCACAAGCCCAGAAAGTCTTCTTGCTCTGTGCCTAGTGGGGCCACAGACTGGCTGGCTAAGGCCCCCAGAAGGGGCTGAGCAGGGGAGGCTTTGGAACAAGGAGGTCATGAGAGCTTACAGGGGAAGCTATGCTATCAGATTAGAGGAGTGCACACTTCGAGTGTGGGCCTTTTTCAAAGAGGCTTCTGGATGAAAAGAACTGAGCATCATATTAAGCACAAACGGATTAGGAGAATGGGCAGTTAGGGCCCAGAGGGTGTGTGGAGATGAGCCAGGAGGCTTCTCCTCAACTGAGCTGCTGTAGCCACTGTTTCATTGTTTCTTGCAGAGACAGGATGAGGTGGGCTCCTCTATTCGGCTGGTCTGTGCTCTCAGAGGGAAACACCGCAGCTCCAGCCAGAGCAGAGCGAGACCCCAGCAAGCACAGGTGAGCAAAGGACAGATGCCTTAGGAGGGAGGCACCAGGCAGACACTGTCCTAGGATGAGCTGAATGGCTCTTTCTGGTGGGCTCCAGCCAAGTTGTGTGTCTGCACTACGAGTGGCCAGTGCTGTTCTCAGGCCCCTGCCCTGCTTGCTCATGGCTGGGCAGTGGCATCTGACCCACACTGGAGGGCGGGCCTGACCCCAACAAAGGACAAGTTGGGGCTGTAGACACACTAGTTTTTAGCTGCAGGATCACTAGGCACCCCTAGGCGGCGACAACGTGCCACCTAACCCACATGGGGCAGAACCCATAGGCGATACTGACCGCGGGGAGCAGGGCCTCTCAGGGGGGTTTCTGCCAGGGTCCGGGGCTAAGGACCCCCCTTTCCTGAGTAACCATCTATCTTGAATCTTGTCTCCTTCGCTCTCTAGGCTCTCTGTCTCATTCCTGTAGCACCTATTGATTGGGAAGATTTCTAGAGGAGCAAAGATTGACCCCAAACCTAGGGTGGGGCAATCTCTAGACTCCTCAGGCAAATTCCTGTTCCATCAGATCATTCAGGCAGCATTCCCAGGAATGAGGAGCCACTCAAGGTCCCTACTACATCCAAGGGGGTCAGAGTGCAGGCTGCTCCACCAGTAGTGGGCAAATGAATGACTGCCTTCATGGCTACCTCAGTCTCGCTCGGACCCCCGCTTTAAGACAAATGATCTCAAAATTACCCTATTCCAGGTGGAGTGTCTTAAGGAGGCAAATATTTTTTTTTTTCATATTTGAAGCCTCCTGCAGATTTCTGGTAAATTAGGGCCTGGTTGATGAAATGGAGGCTGCAGGTCCATTAGCAAGATAAATCAGATAGCGGAGGTTTCAGAAAAGCCACTGATCTCCCAGTTGGGCTGTCCTCCTCTCCTGTACACCCTATTACTGTTACACAACTCCAGGAGGCACGGCCCCAAGTCTAGGCACAAGTCTGGGGATGCCTCACTTCCCATTCTGTGATGGGGACCCTCAGGAACACTCCCAAATTCCACACAAATGGCCCACTGACCTGACTCTCCTGCAGTGCTGGAGAGTGTGAGTGTGAGAATGTGTGTGTGTACGCGTGCGTGCACGCGCCTGTGAGTATGAATGTGTTTCTCTGTGTCCACCTAGAGATGTGCCGAGAATTTCTGAAGCCTTCCTGCTGGTCCTGCTGAAAGTGAGACATTTGCTCATATGTACCTTTTAACCTGTTTAATTTTTAACTCTGTCTGGCTCCCCCACCTGTATCTGGCAGGTGACAGGAAGCAGGTTGCCAAGAGCGGGCAGCATGGCGTGGACGCTTGAGAGCAGCAGCCCTGGGCTCTGTTCTGCCTTGGTTAACATCTGACCTTCACCTGGAAGCAGCTCCACCCTCTCTAGGTTTGTGCATGCAGATGATACGCAGTGACCATTTATTGAATGCAGTGGCATCCCCTGCACTGTGGGTGACTGCATGGCCCGGCTGGTGTACACACCCTACTTCTCAGGCTGCCAACTACTCAGGAATGGGGAGGAGCCCCCCCCAAGGAAAGGAGAATCTGTCTCACCTCTAGGCTCTTGTAAATACAGAGAGCAAAACTGTTACTGCTTTTTCCCTTCCTAGGGCTTCAAAGACCCTGTGAAAAGCTATAAAAACTTTAAGCCTTGGTTGAGCTCAGCTATCAAACGAATAGTGACTTCTCTCCTTTTATCACTTACGCCTATATTGGCCACCCACTGATTCACTGGAGATTCACAGGAGAAAGTCATTTAGGGTTTCACTGACCCAAGCAGTAAAACTGGGATTTAAAAACAAATCCCAATCCCTCCATACTTTGTAGGGATGTGATCACATCACTGAAGGGCAATTGCTTCAGGCTCTGAAAAAGAAAGGTGCTAGAAGCCAGTGTGGGTATGATCATATTTCAGAAATCCAATCTAGTCCCTAACAACAGCCTGGGCTCCCCACAACAGGGCGGGGGTGCCCTTTAAGGGCTCCTGGGTTTCACTCGGCTTTAAGAAAACACATGCCTGAGCATGTACCAGGCAAACCTCGCTCTGCCTCTCAAAAGTATGCCTGTTCTAAAGGGGAGGAGGTGGATGGAGGAGGTACCAGTTCGTGGGTTGGGCAATGAGTCTTTGTTTCCTGCCTTCCTGGTGACAGGGGAAGTCCAAAAAGTTACCCAGTGCTTATCTGAGGAGGACACGTGGAGAAAACCAACCTGGTCACGGTGCAGTTTCCTTTCCTTACCCCCCCATAAACTAGAACCTGATATACTAAACACATGGTCCAGTTTGCAAATGGTGGCCTGACATCTGAGCCTGTCTGGCAGAACATAAATCTTCGAGGTACCTGGCTGGCTGGCACACAGAACAACAAACAGGGCTGCTGGCAGCCTGCTGGAGTGGGCCCTGGAGCACCAGAGTGCAAGTGTGCACGTGCACACCCAAACCAAACCTTACACCTGTGAGAACCGGCAAACGAGAGCACATCAGAGAAACCAATGGCTCTCGGACATGCCCTCCTTTGGGGGGTCTGACCAGGAAGATCTGCCTGCTGCAGCCTCTTGTTCATACCACAATTCTTAGTATTTCTGAGATGCCATCAGCACCCTGGACTCCACCCTGACAATCACACACATCTTCTGGGGGAAGTGACAGCCACAAATTGGTCCAGAACAACAGGAAGCCTGCCTAGTGTCACTTCAGCTCAACTTCTTGGATACAGAGCTGTACAACAGGAGAGAGGGAGAGAGGGAGAGGGAGAAGGAGAGGGGGAAGGGGAGAGGGAGAGAGGGAGTGAGGGAGAGGAAGAGAGGGAGAGGGAGAGAGGGAGTGAGGGAGAGGAGGAGAGGGAGAGAGGGAGAGGGGGAGGGGGAGAGGGAGAGGGAGAGAGGGAGGGAGGGAGAGGAGGAGAGGGAGAGGGAGAGAGGGAGAAGGAGAGGGGAGGGAGGGGGAGGGGGAGAGGGGGAGGGGGAGGGAGAGAGGTCCTTCCCTTAGGTTCAAAAGATCAGCTTCACCAGTCCTGGGTGAGGAAGAGTGGCTAGGCATGAAAACAGGAATTTTAGAGGGTGTCAGGCTCAAAGCTAGTTACCTGGGAGAAGGGGGTGAATGAATGAATGAAAAGCATTTGTGAAGCCCTAACTTTGTGCCATGCACTGTGCTAAGTGCAGGGAATGCAGATAAAGAGCTGGACTATTCCCTGATCTCAGGAAGCTCCTACGCTGCCATTCCCATGGCAGCTCCAAAGTTAACCCAACATGGGCTGCGTTAGAAGAGGCCAGCATCCAGAAGGAGGGAGGCCACGGTCTGCCTGCCTTTTCTTAGTGAGACCGCATCAAGACCACTGAGTTTAGCTTTGACACAGACAAGCTCTCTGACACAGGATCAGAGGAGGGAGCCCAGCATGGGGTCACCACCTTTTAGAAGCAGGAGGAATCTTGAAGCCAGCTAGTGCAATGAAAAGGTGTATGGCCACACTATGACATGCCCAAGTAGGCTGAGAGGCCATACAAGACCCTGGCCCTGTCTACTCTACCCTCACTCAGCTGCCAGAGAGAGGCTCCTCAAATCCCACATCTGGCCATGTCACTCACTGTCTTGCTCAAGAAGTTCTAGGGGCCCCTCTTGCTTCTAAGATAACATAAAAACGACTCTGTTTGGCTCAGAAAGCCCTTCACCACTGGGATCTGGCTGCACTCCGCACTCAGTGCCCGTGACTTCCCCCCAAATAGATTCCTTGCTGTTCTCCAGCAGCCTTCCGTCCATCTGTCCCTGCAGCTCTTTGCCCCGGCAGCCCTCAGCATCCCTGGCTCACTTCAGGTCTCAGCTCGTGTCCCCTCCTCTGAGAGGCCTCCTCTGACTGCCCCAACCTAGCCACGGGTACGACCTCTTTATCTGGGCAGCTGTTGCTGTCATCTAGCAGATCACAAACACCCCGAGGAGTGTCTGTCTTTGTCGACTTTGTAGATCGTGTACACAGCAGGAACTCACTTGGGGCTTCTTGCACGAATGGACTGAAAAGCTGGGGACTGGACTCTTGGAGAAGAGAGAGTGAGGGGCATGTGGTGGCTATCTTCATGGAGAAGGGCTCTGTTCTGCTTGGCCTGAGGGCAGAACCGCCTGCAAAGAATTGCAGAGATGACAGAAAAGCTTCCTTAACAATCAGAATTATCCGGAGGGGTGGCTGCTGCCTCCAAAGTGAACAAACGGGTTTCTCCTCACTGGACGTCTTCAAGTGGTGGCCATTGTCGGAGCTGTTGTAGAAATGGCCAACTATTGGGGCACTGACTGGTCAAGGGTTAGGACTCTAGGCCCAGGAGGAGCCAGCAGCTCCGAACACACCATCAGAGACCTGGCTGGAAGCTTGCTGGGCAAGTCCCTTCTCCTCTGGGCCCAAGCTGTCTCTTCTGTCACACGAGGGAGTGGTTGGGATGCCAGCTAAGGTCTCGGGTCTCTGACACTGCATCCCCATCACAGGCTAATCACAGGCACCAATGGGCCAAGACCAAGCTTCGGTAAAAGCACTGGGTCAGCCCCTGGGAGTCTGGAGGACAGGCATGAAAAAAGACATTGGAGGCACTGGGCAGCAAATGGAACTTCTGTGAAAACAGACTATTTGAGACTATTATTTTCCAGAAATATTTGAGAATTTCTAAGGACTTTCCTCTACTACTTACAAAGGTTTCGTTATAGAGCTTGCTGTGATTTAAAGCAGGAGCTGGCCTTGGCACCACCTGGCTACTCACTATACCCACATTCTCTCCTCTTACAGGCCGTGGGCAGGTGGGTGGGCAGGTACAGAGGCAAGCTCTTGGTTTGCTCTGGTGGGGAGGAATAAATTTAGCTACACTCTCTTCATGCTGAAGCCACGCAGCGCCTCCAGATTTTGGCTCTTCAGCTCAAGGGCTGCCCACCAGCAGGGCCCTGTGGAATCCCCATTGGAGCTAGGGGACAGCGGCTGGGGCTGGGGGAGGGGTGCCAACACCTCTAGCGTCCACACCCTTCTCTTTACTCCCAGGGCTGCTGCCCAAGTGCAGCTTCTCACCCATGACCTGGAGGACCCCAAGAGTTTGCTCACGGTCACCCCATTTCCATTTCCTCCCCTCTGCAATACAGACTTCACACAGCCAGAGTGTAGAGTTCTTCGCACCTCAATCAAATCCAGAGCCCTTCATCAGCTGGCTCCAATCTACCTTTCCAGACCTACCATGCACTCTGTCTTTGCTTCCGGCAAGCCAGCCTGCTCACTGTTTCTCACACGTGACACAATCAGTCTCTAGTCTTTGCATCAGCCACCCCTTGCCTGGAACATGCCTCCCCTCTCGATATCTCCAGAGACTTGAAGGGGGTCTCTAGTTTCCTTCAAAGCTCAGCTCGAGCACTATTTCCTGCACAAGGCCTTTCCTAATCACTTCTTCCCCCTAAATCACATTGCATTCACTGCATTACTTCTTAAAGTACTTTCTATGGAGAAAGAGGCAGCACTCTGCGATGGAGGATTGGCATCAGCATTAGGAAGACTGGGGCCTGAGCGCTGCTCCCAGTACGTCCTGGCTGGGTGGCCCAGCAAAGCCCTCAGGAGTCCTCTCGTGGACCATGGGGTGTAGAGAAGCTGCCAGTTTCCCGAGAGCGTCCTCCCTGTGTGACAGGGAAACCACAGGGTGGGCCCAAAAGGAGAGCTCGGTTCTTTAGAGTGTGAACTAATTAAAGTTTAATAATAGATGCTTGCTGATCGACTGATGGACAGCACTGAAGAAGCAAAGGGGCAGGGGTGTGACAGTGTGTGTGTGTGTGTGTGTGTGTGTGTGCGTGCGCCTCTCTGCCTCTCCTCCTGGCTGTCACATACCAGTCCCACGATGGCCAGGAGTCACAGGGGAGGCAATCAGGGAGTCTTCTGTCGCGTTGGGATGCCCCAGCTCTGGAAGGCCTCCGTGTGTGCCTCAATGCCTGCAGTAGCTGAGATGAGAGAACACACACTGAGGCTGGCAGCGCACACAATGGCCTTCCTCTCCCTGGGTCATGTGAGGACACTGCCAGACAGCCTTCTTTCGGGTGTCTAAGAATATAGAATGTTTATGTCTCTTCCTAAACCCTCAGATACTTAAAAAAAAAAAGGGCTTCTGAGAACCGCTTTCCAAGCTAAATTTGAAAGTGTCAGCAAGCTTCCCAGACCCTGCGCGCTCACTTGGCGCTGAGGAGGCCGGGGCGTCCTCCCAGCTCAGGTGACGTCGTGCCAAATTCCGAGTACAGGCGAAAGGCTGGTTTTTGGTGGAAAGCATGATGCTGCGCTGCGGACTTATTTTCACAACGCTGTAGGGGGTGAGAGGGTGGTCCCTTTGCCCGGGAAGGTCTGGAAAAGCTGCTTAAGTGACTTTTCTCAAGGGAAACACTGCCCAGAATCTGGAGAAGAGACTTCAGGTCATGAGACTCGGCGGAGTGAGAACCTGGCTCCAGGCCCAAGTGCTTTCAGTCAGCTCTGCTTATACCATCCAATAACAACCTAGGGCCGGCGCCTAAGCGGAGAGTTCAAACAAACCGGCGTCCAGGATCTGAGCCCTTCAGCACAACCACAAAAGCTTTTTGGGGAGAAGTGCAGGAGACCCATGTCCCCACAAAGGGGATTGGGTTCATCAAGGCAAGGGCAGTTCATCACCGAACACATTTCTGCCTCAAGTTTGGAGCCAGCTGCCAAACGATGGTCAGAAGCAGCTGGCTCTCCTGAAGGAACCTTCCCACTTCAACTCAAAGATGGTTACACTCAATTCAACAAACGCTTCTTAAGCAACTACTACGTGCATAAGGAGAGGCAATGTGGTGTACAGAGCAGCCACTCGAGAAGTCAGGAAGACCTAGATCAGGTCCTACACAAGACAGATGCTGACTGTGTGAGCACGATGTGAAACATGGAGAAAACACTGCAGTGTTTGCTGACTGACTGGCTGACGGGACACGGACTGCTCACTGGACATCACAGGGCCCTAGCACCTAACAAAGCTTCTGAGCTGCCCCAGGTGAGGGAGTTTCCACCGGTTTGGACCAACCCCAAAACACAGGCAGCACCCCAGCTACATTCTCCTTGGTAAGCTGGGGGCAGTCTCCATTCCAAAGTGGCTTCACACTCACCTGGCCAGCAGGATCCCTTGGTACTCCTCCAGCTGCCTCATGAAGCTGGGGTTGGGCTTGGTGACGGTACGCCTTTCTTTCACATAGTCGTAGGCGCGGTCCAAGTTCCAGCCGTACTCCTTCATAGCATAAGCAATCACGGTAGAGGCGGACCGGCTCACCCCCATCTTGCAGTGCACAAGGCATTTAGAGCCATGTTTCCTGGTGTCACGAATTTGGGGGGAAAGAGATGGGAGAAGATATTTTGAAAGCTGCATCCCAAACCTCTGCTGTCCCTTTCTTGCAAATACTTCTACGTACACACACATATCTCTTCAATCACATTGGGGGGCAGGGCCCACAGTCCTGGTAAGATTGGTGAAACCTGGCGACTACTAGAAGGGAATTTCTACGTAGAAGCCCGGCTCCGTTCGGGTGTGGTGTAGGTCAACACCCCCAACTGCCTCAGAGATATTTTTTAACCTCTGCCAATCACTGTCTTGAGAACCACAGTGATTCATTGTACCTAAAAATGTCCTGAACAGCCTCTTGGTAAGTTCCAGCAGGTGTTTTGTCCTTGGGAGGAAAACACGAGCCACATGAAACTAACTCCTCTCCCTCATCCAAACATGTTCTTAAATATCATTGTTCACATTGTGACCCATCCATCTAGTTTTGGGGAGGAGGAAAAAAAAAACCAAAATCAGAACTACGTGATGATCCCATGGCAGAACAGGCTGGACCAAAACATCGTTCAGTTGGGCTATTATAACTTATGGGTGCATCAGTAACATCTACTATGTTCAATTCTTCAGGAAGAAGTGGCATGACTTAAAATGAATTGTGACCTACATAGCTTTGTTTCACTGGACATACGCTGAGCCAAACTACCAACTCAAAAAATGCTCTGGGTGTGTGTGTGTGGTGTCAGACTTCTGTACAAGGAGTCACTCATTCAGGAAGAATGGACATCTATCTGGAGCTTACGGTCTAGTTAGGGAGTCTATAGGCACCACATAAAATACCAAAATAATACTACAAAGCAGTTCTTTAATTATGTGCTAAAATAAGAGAGTATTCTAGATAAGTAAATGTTCTAGGAATTCAGAGGATGTTGGCTGGGAGATCTGGAGCCTCTGATGAGAGGAGGTATGAAGCCCTCACCTGATCAACACCACAATCCCCACAGACGCTGGTGCCTCTCTGATGAATGCCTGCTCTCATTCGTACCATGCACTAGTCCTAGCTTCCCAATGAGACTGTAAGGCCCCTGAAGGCAAGGCCTTCCTCAGCACCCAGGGCTGGATATGGCAGGTGCTTAAATGAATGCCGATTGCACTGACTCCAGCCAGTGGCACTGCAGGGTTTTCTCCAAATTACTGAATGATATTTACCTCATTTCTCACCAGGAGATTTTCATTTCTGGTAAGGAGGCTAATGCCAAGTAACTGGGATGGAAGTGCAGCTCTGTACTCATCTCCCATCAAGCCTGGGTTCCTGTAATGGGTCAAGTTCCCAGTCTATGCCCAAAGTCCTCAGAGAAGCTCTGAACTTTTATACAAATCATGAGCCAAAGGTAATTATAAAAGCTACTATGGAGGGGATGTACCTTTGATACCACTTGAGCTAGACTGCCCAGTGGATGTTTTTTAACTCCTATCAATGAAGGACATGCGATTCTCCCAAAGCACATGAACGCATGTGAAATCTGATTCATTTGAAGCTGTTTTTTCCTTGCGTAGCAAACCCTCCCTCCCATTCAGTTTTTTAAGGAGTCCATCAGGCTATTACTTCAAAATTAATATTGAGAACATTCTTGGGTTCCTGACCCATAAAATGTAGCCTCAAATATTCAGCATGGGCTTGGGGACAACATATGGGAGCCTCTGCTGTTACCAAGGGTGGCAACGTAAAACCCAGCAGGAAAGATGAAAAGGATGGCTATTGTTCAAGCAGGGGGACAGACCAAGAGGCTCCCCTCGACAGTGGGATCTCAGCAGTGCTGGGCGGGGCCACTTATTTGCTCTTGCCTCCAATTCTACACTTATAAAATGAGAATGTTGGACTCGTCCCTGAGGTTCCTTCTGGCTCCAGAACTTGATGATTTTCTAATTCAGAGCCTATGAAAGATTTTGAAGAAAAGAGTGATTTCTGTGAACTTTGGAAGTCGTGGTTTGAGTCATTCTTTTTCGGGTTTTGGGAAAAGCCATAATTTGTGAGATCTTCCTTTCCTCTTGCTCTCCCCGGTTGCAGAGGGACAGGCAGTGATGAGACTTAGTGACAGTGTGGGAGGGAAGCACCTGAACGTCCCCATCCACCCCTCGCCTTTGGTCAGAAAGCATCTTGATTGGCTGAGTGTAAGCTCTGAATTAGAAACCCAACAAATGTAGGCATGGTAAGTCTCTGAGGCTAGAGAATGTCCATCAAGTTTAGGGTCTCTGATCCTTGGGCCAGGATTTAGAGGGTAAATAATGAAAAGAGGAGTGCCAAGACGAAGAGGGATGATACTCTTCTGGGATACATTTCCAAACACTCTGATCCTCAAGGAAGTCGAGTGGGGTCCCAGTCTGGGTCAGTTTCTTAGAAAGGGCTAACTTAGAGTAAAAAGGATTCAGGGTAGCTAAAAAATAGATATCCTGAACTTGGAGGTATTGAGAAATCACAGACTCCTTGCTGGAGAGCCATTAAAAGTAAAAGATTGCTGTTTCCTAGGGATGATTTGAACGTGATCTTGCCTGAAAGGATGGGTCAGGTTGGGATGGCTAGGGCATGGACAAGACTGCTTTTTAATGCCCTTTCCAATATAAGTTCTATGATTAAAGAAAATGGATTATTATGTATACATTATTATTATATAGTATTAAAGAAAATGAAAGTAAATCTATAGGCATAAAAGATATACTGTATATATAAAAGCTACTTAAATTAAGGAACAACAAAAAAAGACTGAGGGATAAAAATCATACCATTTAGAGCACAGGATAATAAAGTTGTATTCCAAAATGTAAAAGCTGTTCCTCGATCATGGGCTGTATTTTTGTATAGGTGGTAGGCCTACAGACTATGGTTTGCTGACCTCTGATATAGAATGTCATCTTAATAAAACAAGGGTGGGGAAGGATTTCCAAAGAATTTTTAGTCCAACAATTATATCCAGAGAAGACCATATGTAAGTCATCTCTTTGATACAGGATAGAAAGAGCTCTTTGAGGAGGTAGGCTCTAGAACCTGTCTGCCACCTGAAGAATCCCACCCTGAAAGTTCTTCCTTCTGGCTGATCTAAATTCCTCCTGCTGTAGCTTAAGGCAGTTTTCTCTGGTTTTGTACACAGCAGAGATGGCTAACATCTGCTTCCTATAAAGCCTTCACATTTCTGAAGATTAACGTTACTCTTTAGGCGCAATAATCTCAGTTCCTTTAGCCATTTTCTTACCTTTTTTTCTAGCTCATCTCAAGGGCATTCAGATGTCCCAATCCCTATCTCAAGGTGGGTGAGAGCAAGAGAAAAAAGAGAAAAGAAAATGCATTTCTGTGGGTCGTGCTTACTTGGCTTTGGAGATGAATTTGTAAGTATCATTCCAGTAGGCCAGCAGGTCTGTGGCTTCCTCGTCATACACCCGGATATTATGATACTCAAAGACCCCTGGGAAGAAGTTATCTATTTCCCGAGTTACATTTAAGATGTACCGTACCCTATAAGGAACGCAAAGAGAGATCTGATTGGTGGTTATTGTGACAGGTTACAAAAACCCAATCCAAATCCAGAAATAAGCATCCTCTAGTTTCCATTTTCCTTAGTTAAAAGTGATCCTTTTCTCCAGTGCTGAATTGAAATGAACAAGGAGCTGCCCAGAGGAGAAAGAATCCAATAAAAGGATTTAGTCATCTAATTCAAACAAGGCTTGTCTGAAAAGGGAATTGAGCATATTGGAAGTGGGAATTTAGCCTAAAAGGTGAACTTGCTTCCTGAGAGCCTTCTTGACAAATCCAGCACCCAATCCTCACTTTCATTTTATAGAGGGTCAGGCAACCTTCTCTAGGCAGGCTCTAGGGAATGAGCTTTATGTTTTATTGCATACTAGAAAAAATACCACGAGGCTATGGAGCAGTTTCCCATTTTATTTGCTTTATGGCCATTCTCATTAAAATTACGACTAATATAATCTGCCTCTATAAGTCACGTGCACAAAACCAGACCAGCAGATACTCCCCCTCCCCCCAAAAAGGACCCCTGTGAGGACCTAAATCCGCCCCCTTTCAAGAGAGATCTAGAAACTAGATCCTTTGCTCCCCCTTCTCTGTTCTAAAGCATATCTCAGTTCAATGTGTTGTGTTTTTCATGCGGCAAAGCAACAATTCTTAGATGGGTTCCAGGTACTCCCTCAAGCTGAGGGGCTTGCAGAAAGTAGTTCTTATATTATTAAAAAAAAAAAAGAGGATTCTTGGGACAAAATGCTGGGAAGGAACAGAAATCCATCCTGGGATGATACCTCACACTCAGGACAGAGTAGATCCAGGAAAATATCAACGAAATCCTGGGCTTAATTTGTCAAAAGGCCTACATGGTAAGGCAGGAAGAATGAAGAACAGCTATGTATATATGTGAAGTCACTGCTTCAAGTTCTCTCTCTACTAGACGGTAAGGAATCCATTTTATTTAAATGTCGGATCTCTCCAACAGTTAGCACGGTGCTTAAAGAACACTGGAATTCTATAGATTTGTTAATATCAGAAAGTTAAAAGCAATAATTCAACTATATCATACCAAATCTATGCTTTGGACCACTCAATTTATTTTCACGTGGCAAACACTCTCAGATCCATTCCTAGAAACAAAGGTCCCCTGTCCCCATCCCCCACCATGCACCTGCCATAGAATCTCACATTTGGAAGAGACCACAGAGGTCAACCATCTGACCCTTAGTTGAAGAATGTGTCCCCTCTAGAACCCTGCCCTGCCTCTTCCCGTTCCCCCCAATAACTGGTAGGTCTTTCCTAACTCTCCCAGCCACCAGAGCCCTCTCTCCCCAAAGTGCTTGTGGTCATTTGGTGTACATTCTCAAAAAGAAGCTCCTTGAAAGCAGGGAAGGTTTCCCTTCTGTCTTTGATTTCCTGGCGCTTAGTAGGCACTTAGCAAATGTCATTAAATCAGTCAACATCTTATGCTACTATATGTCTATGCTATCATGAGACAGTCCTAAATATTATTAAAATTATTAGAAGTATTTTCCTTATCTTGAGCCAGACTGAGCCTCCCTGTAGCTCTCACCAATGGGCCGAGGTATACTGACAAGGTCAATTCTTCTCTAGGCTTTCAGGACACAACTCTCTCTTCTGGTTTTCCTCCTATGTATCTGACTCTTCCTTCTCAGTCCCCTGACTGTCTACCCCATCCTATTTACTTCCTATTTTCCTTCATACATTGGTTGTTGATACAGATTTGTTTGCTTGCTGTCTAGTCCATTAGATTGTAAGCTCTCTGAGGGCAGACTCATCTTTGGACCGTTTTTGGTATGCCCAGTGCTTTAGCATAGTGCTTGGCACACAGTAGGTGTTTAATAAATGTTTGCTGACTGACTCTTTTACATGACAATCTTTCAAATTTTTGAAGGCAATGATCATGTCTTCCTCCAAGTCTTTTCAAGGTTAAACATTTCCAATAAATGAACATTAATTAAGCACCTAACGTGCTGGGCACTGAGCTAAACGTCTGGGATATAAAGAGAGAAGAGAAACGGCCCCTATCCATGAGTAGCTAACATTCCAACATTCCCAGTTCTTGCAATGGCTCCTCCCTTGACCATCTTTGGCTCCCCTTCTCTAGTCACAATGCAATTTCTCAATAGTTTTCCTAATGTGGTGCAGAGAGGTGGTTGCAATATAGAACTGAAAAAGATCCTTCTTGACAATACAGTCAGTGTTTTCTAAAGTAAGTTTTGCTCATCCCTCCTGTTATGATAATATCCTTCTATCAACACAGCCCCAGATCACACTGTCCCTTTCTTGGTTGTCATATCACATCATGAGCTTCAAAGTTCACTAAAATCCCTAAGATCTTTAAAGAAAGTCCTCTTACAAAAGCCACCACCAACTCAACTCTAAAGAAAGCTGTGGGAGAAGTACTTCCAGGCCAGAGGTTTGAATTTTTCTTCTTCTGAGGGAGATCTGATGGTTGGGCTTACTTCACCAAACTTCAGGTTTCACTTCTGGAGGTCCAAAACATAGATGCATATTTGGAAGCACTATGGAACCCAAGCACTGTTTGACCTGGGTGGGTGCTCCAATCATCCTCTATGTAACAGGTGACAAGGCCACAGAGGTTGGCTGGGTTACCTAAGGTCACACAGTGGTAGCCCCAGGATTACATCACAGCTCAAGGTTCTCTCCACTACACCATACTGCTCCTTATTGAACAGAAGCTGGAGCAGGAACCCAAGAAGGCACTTGGTCCAGGCTATGGCCTTCAGGAAGTTTTTTTAGGAAGGACTAAAACCATCCCAAGTGGAGGGCTGGTTACTTCCTTTCCGAGTTTCTCCAGGGATGGAGACCACACAACCCACCTCAATTATCCATTACAGCATCTTATCGCCTTGTTTTCTTAATGTCCAGCTGTGCAAACAATCTTTGTCCTGCTTTCATATAAGCCCATTCTCTTTTTCTCCCCCACACCTCTATGGACACAAAACACAACCGCTCTACATCCTTTTCATCCAAACCTTTCACAGACTTGGAGAAGAATTCGGCACCTGATTGAGCCTTCCCTTTTCTAGGCTTCATAATTCTAACTCCTTTAACCAGCTGTTATTCAACCCTTGAAGGCTGGCTTAGCCCTGCTTCAGCTTCTACATGTAAAACTAACAGCCTAACTCTGCCATTTTAAAACAGGGGAGACTTCGGGCCCAGAAAAGGTAAGTGATCTATTTGCCCAAGGACACAGAAGTAGGAAACATCAGAGCTGAGATTCAAACCTCCTTTTCAAACTGTGACCCCGACCTTCTGTAACACTGCAATGGGCTTATGACCTTTTCAAGTCATGGTTTTTAATACATAAAAGTATCCTGTCCATTTTTTTCCCTAATGACACTGTTATTGACTCCCACTCAGCTTGTGAGGGGCCCAGCCAGACTTTTCCTCTTCTGAGCCTTTGTTTATTTTGTTTCTTTCTTCCCCTAGAGTACCCCTGAGCCTCCCGGAAGTGCATCCTGTTTGGGTAAGATCAACTCCGTCTAATTGGTCATGGTAATCTTGAATGGCATTCTCATTTTCCAAGGTATTAGCAACTCTGCCTGATTTAAAATTGTCCCTAGCTTTGATGACCTCAATTCATCTTTTCAGGTCATCAGTACTAATGTTTTAGGACTGATTTAAGGGTCTGGGAGAAGCCAGAAAAAGTTTTAAAATGGAGAGGAAGTTAAGAAGGCTTTATATTATTTTCATCTGTTACAAAAACAAAACCCTACATTTAGAATTTCTCCTTTAGAGGGGGAGGGACCTGATTCTTCCCAACAGCTCCTGCCCTCCCTGCGTTGGGACACTCAGACTACATCCGTGTTGTCTCTGTTGACGGGATGTCAGCTCTGGGAGAGCAAGGGCTGTCTCATTTTTGCATTTTTAGAGTCGAGGACATAGCAGACACTATGTAAAAAATGCTTATCAGCTGATTGATCTATGGGTAGGTGTTTATAGGATCAAGAGGGAACTTAGAGATAACCTAGTCCTCTCTTCTAAAGAAAGAAACCGAGGCCAGAGACCTGCTCAAGGTCATGCAGTGTTTGGTGTCCCAGTGCCTCCCAGCTGCCTCCATCTTCTTTCCATCTGTCACTGGGCAAGACACAGAACTGAGGTCTGATCATTACTGCAGGATCTCTTAGTGGTCTATACCAAATCCTTCAAAACCTCTCTTTTCTCACAATCGCTCAGTCGGGTGTTTTCCTGACATTTCCTTGCTTGGTGGGATTAGTGACTCTCAGTGCACCTGGGTGCTTAGGAAATCATTCCTTGGGAGGAAAAACTGGGGGGGAGTGACTTTTTCTTGTGGGTTTCCTGATGATGAAGACAGCAGTGACTGATGAAGCCTACTGTGAGACTGGCTAGCTAGCTTTCACATCCCTGTTTAGGAGGACTACCCTCAAGAGTGCTACACTATTTTATCTTCTCTGACTGGACTGATCTGACCCCTATAGTCAGGGAGAAATAAGAGAATTTTAGAATTGGAAGGGACCCTGGTGGTCAGCGATCCCAAATCCAATCCTGAAGCAGGCAATTCCTCCACTAATGCCCAGTAGGCATCAGCCAGGAAAATAACAAGGGAAGATGGTTAGCCATTTGCTTCTTGTCTACTTAATCTGGTCCTGGTTTTTTTTTTTTTGTAAAACACAAATCTCCTTACCACTTAGAATGACATATCTCAACACAGGGTAGATGTATGTGCCCTATTTCAGACACTTATTGGTCATTAAGAAAACTTATTATTTAAATAACAAATTTGTTCTTATAATCCTAAATAAGGATGGAATCTGATGGTACTATTTAATTTTAAATGACATCAAAGAGTTAGCATTTTACTTTCTGAAATCTAATGTCCACCCCATGTAGTTTTGCCTTTTGTAAGAGGCTTGTAGCCTCTCTTTGTTAAGCTTCACAGACACTTGTGCTGAGCACGAGCTGGGAGCAGCAGTAGATGGGAGCCAGTGTTTGCACAGGGCTGTGTCTGATTGGGGCTTACCCTCGGTTCTGCAAGTCTTCCAAATTGGAGGCGTTCCATTCTGAGCCCTGCACAATCAAAATGACAAAATTAGGTAAAGTTAGCCCCCAAAGAAACAGAAGGGCAGCACTAGAGTCCTGACGGTAAAGATGGTGGATGATATTGGCTGGACTTAAGCAATCTCACACGCTACAGAGGGGAAATTACCATGATCCTTCCAGAGAACAAAAAAGGACAGTTCTAGTGGGGAAAGTGAAAGGAAACAGTGAATATTTCAAAACACAGAGACTGAATCAGATGTAGGTCTAAGTGCTGCAATAAGAAGTGCTGCAACCTAGAAGAGAGTCAGATTACTGAGGGTGGGGGAGGTTTGCTAGGAAACAACATCCACTCCATACTCAAGTTTCCATTTTGGGAAGAGGCCAGTGGGAGATGGAACTCCACCTTTCCTATCAGGTTCGGGTTCACTGACTTGTACACAGAAAGATGGCAATGGTCTTGCTGGCTCTCTGTGTGTGTGTGTGTGTGTGTGTTCAGTCTTACAATGGAATTGTAACTAACTTAAAAAGAAAGCAAGAACAGCAAAGGGCACCAGAAAGTAAAATAACTAAGTCACAGGAAATGGGGGACAGGGAGATATGACAGCCCAGTCCTCACTAGGTTCAGAAACCAAGCTCCTAAAAAGGAGAGTGTGCAGGATGGAATTCATAATAGGGAAGCCAGCACTACTCAGCTGCCTGAGAGAATTCACTGGAAATGGCTTGTGAGTTCATTAGGAAAACAATAGTATAGACAATAAGAAGACGTCCCCGTGTTCTGAGCTGCTGACTAAGTGAAGCCAGGCCAAAGTTGCACTGTCCAGGGTGGAGGGCTACCTTGGGGTCGGCTCCAGTGGGAGAAGGCAACCTAAACACCACGAAGATCAAATCCCAGGGCCCTCCCACAGCCCCAGCCTGACGTGTGTGGACACACTTCTGCTGCGAGGCTCGCATCACTCACCAGAGTGATGCGAGGAGTTTTTTTTATCTTCTTCACAACATGCCATGCAGAAAATCTTGGGACATTTTCAATTCTGAAATGTGCAATTTCCATCTTTTCTCTCTCTTTCCTTTCATCATGCCCTGGCCTAAATCCCTTAATGAGAAAACTCTCTTAAAACATCAGCTGTAGGAATTATCTTTTCCAGAAATTCAACCTTTCTAGCCAATCCAAGAAGGACATCCCAACTGGAGCCTGAAGAAGTCCCTGACAGTCAGGACCAGTCATACTAAATATCCCATTGCTGGGAGATCCATGAAGAGTTTTTGACCTAGGGTCTTCAGACCACATTCCCCTCTCACCCCCACCAACAGTCATGTGGAGAGGTTTCAGGGGATTAGGGACCTTGGATAGGGAAAAAAATGCCATCTTTATTTCTCTCTCCAACAGAAATGCAGTGTTTCTTCCAATTACAAATGTAGGCAACAAACTACCATAGTTTCAGCAGAACCTATGACTTTGATCTCCAACAGAAATCACAGACATGTTCATATAAAATGACTGTCATTGCAGGTATCTCAAAACATCATTCACACTTACTACTTCTGTAGTTATCAACACACTTAACCAGGGTCTTCCTGTCTATGAATTGTAATGCAATAGAACTGGTTTTCTTTGTAACCCCATTATGTGTTCAATCACCTGCTTCTGAGAAAGGGTCCCTGGGCTTCTCCAGGCTGCTGCCCAAGACACGAACCAGGTTCAGAACTCATGCACAAGGCCAAGGCAGCGATTTTGTAAGGGAGCTGGCTGGGAAAAGTCCTTTCTTTGCTCTTTTCCTTCTCTCCGCATGGGAAGCTCCAGGAATCGAGGCATGAGCTTCGGCTGCCCAGCAGCTGCCCCTTTGGAGGGAGGTTTGTGCCTCTTTGTTTCCAAGTTAAGGGGCAAAGGGGCCACATTCCACTCCAGGGTTTATCTTGTGAGCTTTCCATCTACTAACTCATCTGCCATCTCGCCCTCTCTGCAGTGAAGGGCCTTCTATGAGGATGCCGTTGTTGACCTTCACACAGAGAGTATCTTGCCTTAGGGACTTTGTCTCTGTTTTTTCACTGCATCCAACCTTCCTAGACCTTGCCTACCTTGTCCAGAAACTGACCAGGCTTCCCCTCAATCTCACCCACCGGCACATTTCCTTTAAGGTCACTCCATACCAGTTAAACCCTTTCTGCACAAATCCACGCAAACAGATACTCTTCCAACAGGGGTGGGGAGGGGGAGATGCTGCCACCTCACTTGTACCAGGCTGGGTGTGTTCCCCGCACAGCAGCTGTGCACAAGATGAGCTGCCCTAAAGAAAATTAACACTCCAACTTGCAGCTGGAATAAGACGTCTTTTCCCTGTCGATTTCTGGGAAACCTAGGGGAGCACAGATGCTCTGAAGGAGAGCCCTCTGGACAGATGACGAGGCATCCCAAAAGGGAGGGAGCTGCCAAGGAAAAGCAGCTGAAATAGAAGAGGATTTCGAGCTCTAAGGGAGTCAGGTGGTTACCTAAGCCAGAGAGTAGGAAGCTAAGACCCAGAGGGCACCAGTGACTTGCCCAAGGCCCACCAACAGACAGTAAACAGGCTTTCAGCCAGATCCTCTGCTATTTCTACTATACTCCATCCTTCAGTGCTTGGAACAGAGATCAACACACATTTGTGAGATGAAGAAATGAATGAGCCCATCACAGAAGACAAAGCAATCTGATCACACTACTGCTTTGGAAATGGTTAAGCTTCAAGATCTGCCAGTATTATTTCCCAAGAAAGGCATACATTCAAAATATTCCAAGTTGTCCACCCTGTAGGAAAATGTTATGACGTGGAATTTTTTTTTGGTTTTACTTCCTTTTAAGCCAGAGTAAGGGTTCTTCCTTTGTTTGTGTCCCAGACCTCTTGGGCAGCACCTGGTAACACTACTACGGTCTGTTGACAACACTCGTAATTGAGGGAAACACTAAATTTCAGTTGCGGTTAATGAAAACAAAGATATAAAACCTGCACTACTGAACCTCCAGGGCTATCCTAAGGGAAGAGTTCTGTAACCTGGACAGTTCTGGGGCAACATGGACTCTTATTAAGCATCTTTTGTATCTGGCTTGGAAAGAGCTTTGTTTGAAGTCTTGATCCCAGTTGCCTAATCCACACTGGGATAGCAGGTGGCCCCGGAGGGTCCTGGGTGGCTGCTGTGAAGCAGGATCTGACCATATCTGGTAACCATTCTTTCCCAGGTCAGCTGTGAGGCCGCCATAATCCCAGATTTGGATGGGGATGACCTCTAGTCCTTGGCCTTGGGTCCTCTCTGGAAGATGGGACATCCAGGGTAGAAGCTGTGGCAGGGCTGTGTGCAGATGACGGGGGCAGGGCCTTTCAGAGCCTTCTAGAGAGAACACACAGATTCTTTCCAAACTGTATGGGGCCTTTTAAAAGAGCAGGGAATTTGATCGCCTGAGGAAAGTAGGCACAGTAGCCAACAAAGTCGGGCACTTCATGTATGGAAAGGTCAATGGCAAGTTTTGCAGTGGGATCTGCATTCACAGTTGGCAACAAACATTGGACAACACTAAAGGAAGGAGTGGAGGACCTCCCTCCCCCACCCTCTTCCAGGGCACTCCTTTTTCAAAAGTGTTCCAGGGCTGCACAAAGCAGCAACTCACTCCATGGGGCAGACACGTGCTTTTCAGAGGAGACTCAGCCTCATAACTCAGGGTACCACATCCTCAAGTCTGAATGGGACCACCCTGGAATTATTTAGGGTGGGGACAATACGTAAGTCCTATCCTTCTCTCTTTTTTCTCTTCTACTGCCCCCCCCCCAGCTCTGTGGAGTCAGAGGATACAAGCTCTCCTGATGTGGCCACAGGTGGTCACTATGAGGTCCCTGGGCCTTAGTTTCCCCATTTGTAAAATGAGGCCATTAGAACAGATGTCCCCTGTGGTCTCTTCCAATTTTAGAGCTATGTTCTTATCATTCTTCATTTCTTAGCCATTTCAATGCTTGTAAAAGAAATAAAATTCAAAACAGCCCATTTAGGTCTTTGTTAGTATTTCTAGTAGATTTTGTGGCAGGAGATAAAATCTAAAATAATTTTTTTGGGTTGTCTATGGACTTCCATCATGTGGTTCCTTTTGCCACGGATAACACAGTGGAAGATATTTAACATTTGGGAAAAGAATGTGCTGGGGCACGTACCAAGCTTGTCTTAACGGTGGCTATAATGTGGTCCCACATCACCTGAAGCTCAGGCATCGTACCAGGAACCTCATGGTTTCTGGGATTTAAAGAGCACATCAATCTTCACCTTCCAGGGAGATTCCCACACACGTGTCCAGCCCCAGGCATGTCCAGGATGTGGAAAAGAGATGCAGGAGAATCCACCTCCTTGACCCTGCTGCCTGAGACTTGTAGGGGGCTAGAGCCCTACAAGCATCAAGGATGTGGGAACAGCGCTTACCAGAAACACGTGCTCGAAGATTTGTGTGGGGCTGTCCATCTGTCCTAGGATCACGATCATCTCATTATCTATGAACTCTTTGAACTCCCGAAGGTTGCATGCCATCTGCATTTCTAACTCTGTTCGTATCTGAGAAAACAACGGGGTTCATAGATTCTTATATTTTTAATTAAAATTGTAGCTCAAAACTAATTAACTACTTACACATCAATCTATTTTCTCTTTCAACTTGGTAACTTTTACACTGCTACAATTAATGTTTACACAATATTTGCATAATGGTTATTTGTATATGCTTACTAGATCATGTTTATATAGGCTGATTGGACATGTCATTGGTATATGCCCACTAGACTGTGAGCTCCAACCCACAGTTAAGTTTTTATATTCCCATAAGCAATACTGTGGTGCTTTCAATACAGTAGGCACATAATAAATGGTTGTTGAATAAATGACTACCGGCTTTGATGCTAAGTCCTATAGGTAGAGGGAAAGTATGTATGTTAAGGTGAACACCAAGTTACTACCAGCCCTTCTTCCTTTGGTCAGGGGCACATGAGATGGGACATGAGCCCCAGGACAGCACCAATCACCAGGGTTTTATGCCTCCTACACATCCCTATTATTCCAGCTGGAGTTACATTTCAAACAATCAATTTAACTCCTTCTACTCTCCTCCCCCCAACTTTGTCTGTTAAGGAAATGCTTCAAGAGAATAGAACCTCTATTCTCATGGAGGTGGGTCCTTAGAGGCTTAGGTTTTCTCTCTTAGGACTTTCCAATCATTCCAGAGCCAGCAGTGAACCAAACAGGGCAAAACACAATAACTCAACGGCAAAATGATAGAAGAGGATTTAGCTTCTCCACAATCGAGCTCAAGCTAAAGACATCTGATTTACAATCTATACCCAGCACGTTTTTATTTTTATTTTGTCTGTATTTTATTAATACTTTTATAGAGCTCTTTGCAAGAATTGGCAGAGATCTAAACATGTAAATTTCCATATTTACACAGTATTGCACCGTGTTAATATATGCCATATAGCCCCTTACTTACTCTTCACCACATCAATCATCCCACAACCACCATTACCACCCAACCCTGAACCCGCACTTGTTATCACTCTATCCTTTAAGCACAAACCTAGGAATAACATGGATCTGAAGTCCCTCACCTCTTTGGACGTAATATTTTCCAAATCCTTCTGCATCATAATTTCCCTTAGTTTGGTCTTGATTAACCTTTCTGTGCGTTCTCGTTCAGTTGGGCTGAAAAGAGAAAACGGTGATTGTTTAGAAGAGGATCAACAAAGGCTAACTGGGTTAACACTACAAAATTGACAAGGTGTTGGAGTGCACTAGATTACAGAGGTAGGAGGCAAAAAATGAATGATTTTTTAACATCAATTTTTAAATTCTGAGTTGCAAATTCTCTCCCTCCTTCCAGCCCCTCGCCCACCCATTGACAAGGCAAGCAATATGATAACCCATTATACATGTGAAGTCCTGCAAAACATATTTCCGTATAAGCTATATTGCCAAAAAAAAGCCAAGAAAAATAAAGTGAAAAAAAATATGCTTCAATCTGTACTGAGAATTCATCACTTCTCTCCCTGGAGGTGAGAGCACTTTGATCACGAGTCTTTGGGAAGTGTTGTGGATGACTGTATTGATCATCGTCACAATAGTGCTGTTACTGTTTACAATGTTCTCATTCCCTTCAAGGAATCAATGTTTTAAATGATATTTTTCTTTTTCTGAATTTATGATCTAGGAGGAGAGGGGAGCACAGTGCACTGGGGGAAATGCTGGATCACAGTCTCAATCCTTGGCCTTCTAATTACTGCCTGCATGATCTTAGGAAAGCTGATGTCCTACCTTGAGGCCCCAGTTCTCTCCTCCACAAAATCAGGAGGTGAAATTGCTTCCAAGGTCTCTTCTAGCTCTACGTTCTATGGTATGAGCATAAACATGCTTTGGTGCAATTGGGTAAATGACCATACTACAAGGAAGAACATGGCGAGGGAGCAAAGTACATACCAAGTACTCTGGGGGTCCCAGAGAAGAGAGAGAAAACTTATCCTTGAGGGGCAGGAAGGGCAAGGTAAAAATAGGGAAGACTTTACAAAGGAAGTAAATCTGAGTTAGGACTTGAAGGAAAGGTAGGATTTCAGCAGATGGCTATTTGATCCTAGAGGCAATAGGCCGCACTGGAGTGCCTATAACTAGAGTCACATTTTAGTTACCTCTGAACCCTAAATCCTCCTGGAAAAGAGTTTATAGGAAACAAGGGTCAGAGCCCATGTGAGCACTTCAGTCACACACACCTGAGCTTGGCTCCTCCTCAGTGAAAGCTAAGAAGCATAAAGCACACCATGTCTACAGTATCAGGGTGGTTTGGAGAAAGAAGGGACCAGACAGGGAGACCCAGGTGAGGCAGGGGGAGGGCCCACCCTAGGGGAGGAGTGGTGGCACAAGGGACTGTGTAAAGAGAGAAGGCAAAGTAGATGAGATGTGTGGTAGAGACAGAAATAACAAGGTCTGGCAGCTGACTTAATACATGGGGTGAGTGAGAGTGAAGAAATGAAATTATACCCAAACTGGGAACCAGAAAGGCTGGAGAATAACAGGGAAGTTTGGGAGGAAAGACAATGAGCTCTGTTTTGGACATGCTGAATCGGAGAGACCGAGGGGAATCTCAATTCCAAATGTCTCATAGGCATTTGTTGTTGAGGAATGAGAGTGCAGGAGAGAGATTCAGCTGGGAGTCATCTGTAGGGAGATAATAATAGAACCACGAGGGTGATGAGATCACCAAGTATAGAAAGAAAAGAGAAGATGGCTCAAGACAGAGTCTTCAGCGTCCCCCCCAGAGTAGGGGAATGTGCTGGATGAAGGTGCAGCAAAGGAGACTCAGGAGTGGTCAGAGAGGAAGAGAAGCAAGGGAGGGCAGAGGCACGAAAAACCAAGAGAGAAAACATCTTAACATCTTATCATCTGGACACTGGGGGATTAAATGGAAGACATCATGGGCTCCCACTGTTCTAGTTTGCCCCAAATCTCTCGTGGCCAGATCCTGAGTCTGATCTACCGTGTGATGTCTTGTGTTCCTCGCAGAGGTTGAGTTCTGGGGAAGATGGGAAGGCCTTGGTGCCCTCCCCAGGTAGGAACACCATGACACCTCCTAGGTTCAGATTCTGCCTTTGTGGTCCACTGCTGGCATGACTTAGGAAGCTGCTTCACCTTTCTGGCCTCACTTTCTCCAGACAAGGAACCAGATTAGACAATTTGGACTAGATAATTTCTACGTTTTTCTCCAATGCTAAATCTACAGCCTTAGGATCCATTCTCTTTCTAGGAATGAAATTCAGGCACCAGGTCATTAAGATGTGCCCCAAATGTTTACATAAGGATTTGAGATAAGTGCAAGAATGATGGACACTCAGCCCGTCATATTTTACAAAGCTTTTTCCTGGCAACAAAGCTTAGAGGCAGAGACTAAAAACACTATTGTTTCCATCTTATGGATGAAGACACAGAGGCTCTGAGAGGTTCTCTGACTTGCCCACCCTCCCACTGCCAATCTATCAGAATTGGGCCCTGAACCCAGTTCTTCTCAGTTCCCAGAAGAATATGGCGGATTTTCAATCCAGTTTAGCCCAGACATGAACAAAATTATTGGGCTTCCTTTGGGTTTCTTGCCCACTTAAAAAGTCAATAAACATTTATTAAGTGCTTACTACGTGCCATGCATCATGCTAAGAACTGGGGATACAAAAAGAGGCAACAGACACTCCCTGCCCTCAAGAAGCTCACAATCTGATGAGGGAGACAAAGAAACAACCATATACAATCAAGTTATATTCAGGATAAATAGGAAATGAGAAGGAAGGCACTAGAATTAAGAGGGGTTGGGAAAGACTTCCTGTAAGAGATGGGATTTTAGCTAGAACTTAAAGGAAGATAGGGAAGCAGGCAGGCAGAGATGAAGGAGAGCATTCCAGGAATGGGGGACAGCCAGAGAAAACGCCTAGAGCTGAGAGAAGAGGATGTTGTTTATGGAAAAGCCAGGAGGCCAGGGTCACTGGATCGAAGAGCCCGTGGTGGGAGTAAGGTATAAGAAGACTGGAAAGGTAGGAGAAGCCATGTTATGAAGGGCTTTGAAAGTCAACAGAGCTTTTTGTATTTGCTCCTGGAGGCAACAGGGAGCCATTGGAGTTTCTTAAGAAGGGAGAAATGACAGGGTTAGGCCTGTACTTTGGGAAAATCACTATTATTATTATTATTATTATTATTAAATAAAATTACTCTTGGAACTCTGACTAGGGAATTGGGTCTCCAATTACAAGATAACTGGCTCAACCTGACTGCACCCTGCGCCATAACCCAGCCATGCTCTTTTACACTGTTGCACGTGAGGAACCCAGACACAGTGGCTCGATCTGTTTTGTCTTTCCTCCCCACCTACCCAAGAAAGGTGTCAGCTGGGTTCATCCTTACATGGAAATGGAAAAGGACTAAGGGCTTAGGCATGCTGCCCATTCCTGCTGCTGACAGCCTTATCACTGGCTGTAAAAATAGCTTTAGTAATCTCTGAAGATGGACGCTCTCAGCCCACAACCATGGGCTTCCTCCTGCTCCAGCTCTTAAGTTTCCCATGAAACCTGCAGGCTGACGGCTCACACCCAGGCTCTTTTTCTGACACTCAGTCACAGTGTCTCTACAGAGTAGTTCATAAATAAAATTCTGAACCTCCCTTTCTGATTTTTCTCCAGATGAAGTTGATGAGGACACACAGGAGAAAATAGCACAAACCAGCCAGTCATTTCTTTAACTTATTGACGTCTTGGGGTTTGGTGTGAATGGGCTAGCTGGATGTCCAGACTCAGTGACCTCCTGCTTTATGCTTCTTGGCTCTCACTGAGGATGAGGCAAGCTCAGGTGTATGTGACTGAAGCGCTCACATCAGCTCTGACATCCATGACCCTTGTTTCCTACGAACACTTTCCCAGGAGGATTTAGGGTTCAGAGGTAGCTAAAATGCGACACTAGTGATAGGCTTTTCCATTTAACTTGGGGTTTTAGGGAAGGCAAATGGGAGTTATTTTAGTTTTCGAAACATGTTCTTACTAGCAAGGAAATACAAGCTGCAACTCAAGTCAGGTGGGGACCTTGAAGACCCTAAATGAGAACTGTGAGACCAAAGTGATGTCAAACACAGGCTACATACCGGGGAGGGCTCAAGGGGATGGAGAGAGAAAGAGATAGACAGACCGGGTGGGGAGGGAGGGAGGAAAGGGGAGAAGAGGGGAGGGAGAGGGAGAGAGGGGAGAGAGGGAGAGAGAGACAGAGAGAGAGAGAAAGACATTGGGGTGGAGGAAGAAAGGGGATAGATAGGTAAGGAGGCACCTGAGCAGTGCTTTGTAGGAAGAGAGGGATTCTAAGAGATAATGGTGAGGAGAGGGTGTCTTCCAAGACAGGGAAGACCATCTGTAAAAAGATATAGAAACAGGACTGTAATGGAGAATATATGAAGGAGACTAATAGGAAAAAAGATGGGAAAGGTAGGTGTGAGTCCCATTGTGGAGGCCTTTAAACTTGAGGGTGAAGAGTTTCTTTTTATCCTTGGGTCTGCTCTTGACACTCCATTTGGCTTTTTAAGCAATTTCCTCAGCGACGGCTCTAGCCATTGCTGGGGTTCTAGAACTGCCTCCCTATTCCCACTTCCCCAGTCTTTGACTCCAAGTCTGTAGTCGTGCAGGGGTGCTCTGCCTGGTTCATGACTAGCTCGAGGTGAACAGAGCCCTGGCCGCAGACCACTCTAGAATTTCAGTGACTCTCAGAAACACCCCCCCACACACACACTAACTGCTTACTGGTCCCCAACTCGCCAGCCAAGAACATGACTCCTACATGCAATCTTATCCCTCTACTACTCTTCTAGAATTCTTAAGCATTTCCTATGTTTCTTCCTGTGAAGATCAAGCAGAAGTTTTTTACTCTAATCAGGTCTTCTTTAGTGGTGAGCTATTTTGGTATAATTACAGGAACTCAAGGGTGAATCCTGTCCACAAGGCCAAAAAGCCACTAACCCTCATCCATAGAGCACTTCACAAATCCACAAAGATCAGTTTAGAGTAAGTAAACATCCTGATTAATTTTCTTATCAGGAACTAAGTGAAAAAGCTCCCAAAATATTAATACAAAACAACACACTGATCCATAAAGGAAATAAACATCAGCTCCACCTTGGACCTTGATCCAACCCAGGGTGCATCAGAGAGACATTTTAACTTGCCTATCTCTTCCTACAATCAATTATAATTTCTGATTTGCACTTAATGGGAGAAAGTCCAGTCTGAGTTAAGTGATAAGTTTAAATTATAGAATTTAATGAAATTTATTTTCTTTCAAATGCTTACAGTAACTTAAAATAGGCTAAGGGTTAGCTATGGACAGGCATCTTTAGGGGGCCTAGTAACAATGAATAAAGAGAATGATTTATAATGAAAATAACGATATTTTATGTAAATATGTCTCAGAATCTCTTGAAAACCAAGTAATGCAAATATTTTTCCACAATCATTGCTATCAACTCCCACTGCACATATAAGCATACAGGTATATTTAAGCCTCATCCCTTTCTGAATAATCACAAATCCCACATTAGCAGTACATCAAAGAATGAAATTTTCGGTACGGAGTTTACGGAGTGAGTTTCTAGGTTGCTGAGAATCGATGCTGCACATTAAGATAGTTCATTAGTATTACTGCAGGGGAGGGAAAACACGTCAAATCTCTTGAGGTGAGATCTCTCTATGTGACAGAGATACAGAATAGGTGTTATGCATGCCTTCTGCCTTACACTGTCAGTTTTTCTAAAGCACAGACTGAGTGGTTTATGATGATACTCTGGAGCATAGGGGTTATTAACCAGGGATCTTTGTGGGTTTTAAAAAATATTTTTATCATGGCATTTCAATATTTGCAACCCTGTGTATTTTATTTTATGCATTTAAATATGTTATTTTGAGAAGGGGTTGGTGCACAGGCTCCTGCTGACTGCCCAAGAGGTCCGTGACACAAAGGAGGCTGAGAATATGGCAGCTGGGTATTTGGTCACTAACCAGCAACAAGGGAACTCACATGTCTGTAAAGAGAGCCGGTGAATCTGGCCGGTGGGACTGCACGTCTCGCATGGCGTTCCATTCGTTCACTGATGACTGGTCGGAGTTTATATGACTCTCATAGTAACTCACCCAGGTTAGGAACAGGCTGCCTGGGTAATAGTTATGACTTCTGGCCACTTCGCATGCCTTATGTAAACTTTGTAATGCAGACCTGAAAGACATATTGGAACACGAGCACTCATGGGCCTGAGGTCGATGGAAGGAGGGAGAGATAATTCACACAAACCATCATATAGTCAACTTTATTTCACCAAATCCTAGAACTGAAGAGCCTTGAGTGACTGCCTATGCAACTCCTATTTGAAGGACACCTCCTTCACCACTCCTGACAAGGGCTCATTCAGCTTCCCTCTTAAACTCTTCCAGTGACAGAGAATGCCTTACCTACTCATGTAGCATCTTCTATTTGCAGACAGCTCTCATGGGTGAGGAAGCTCCTCCTCATGTTAAGCCCAAATCATCTGTATCTCTATAACTTCAACCCAATGAGCTTACTTCTGCTCTCTGGAGCCAAGCAGCAGAAGCTAATCCCACTTCCATATGACAAGACAACAGCAGCAATATTCACAGAGATCACATTCACCCTAAGGCTTCTCTTCCCCAGTTTAAACATTCTCAGTTCCTTCAACTGACTTTTTGCAGGCATGATTTCTATATCATCTGCCCAATATCCTAAAAGATCAATTTTTTTTTAAAAAAAATTTAGGCAATTGGGGTTAAGTGACTTGCCCAGGGTCACACAGCTAGTAAGTGTCAAGTGTTTGGTCTGAGAGCAGATTTGAACTCAGGTCCTCCTGACTTCAGGGCCGGTGCTCTCTCTACTGTGCCACCTAGCTGCCCCCAAGATCAATTTTTAAACCTTGGAGAAACTGTTACTTAAAAATACCATCTCATTATAAAGTTCATTCGATATTCTGGATTCTGACTCTACAGCCTCCATTACGAATTTTGCTACCCCAATCCCTTATCTATTCAGTTTTATTTTTCTTGTGGAAGGGACTGATGCATTACTCATCCTTGATGAATCTAGCCTGAGTACCCACAAGGCATCTGGTATCTTAGTGGGGTCCAATTTCACAGCTGAGCCATCATCGAACTAAAGATACTTGATGATTTAATGACTTGGGGGCAATGGATATTTTCCACTGACTCAGAATCTTGCCCCAAAATAGTGTCCCCTTGATTCCTGGGATACTGACATGTTGTGTCCCAAAGGGCTCCCACCCAAGGCTTCGAGTCATGAGTATTACCCTGGGCACTACCAGGAAGTATTGGCCCACAAGAGGGTTCTCATGGTTGCTACCTTCTTTAAACTACCTACACGTGTTTGAGCTACTTCTGAAGAACAGCTCTGGTTCTTCTGAACGACCATTAAACTTGCTGACTCAGGACCCAGAAAGTCAACTCTGACAGAGAGAGGAGCACTCCAGTCAGTTAAACAACTGGCCCCGGAACTCTGCAGCTCAGCAATCCCTTCCTGGTCAGATAGCCATGTCTCTCCCTCAAGAGGGGGAGCACAATACCAAGAACTGTATTTTGGACTTTTGTGGCCAATCCATTTGCAGAGGGGAAGCCGATTTTCACAAACAAACAGAGCTAGGAAGCCCATTTTAGTGACAAAAGGCAAAGCTCAAGTATCAGAGAGTTTCAGTAAAGCCACGTCAGTTGCCCTGACTCCCAACTGAGTTCTTGCTCCCTGTAACAGGATAATTGCAGGTTCCATGAGGCACGTTTCTTGAACCTCATCATGTACTTAGAGCCTAAACCACTAACTCTGGTTCCACATCTCCTCTGAGGCCCCTCCAGGTGCTGGCTACTTTCAGGACACATCAGCTGAGAGGGACCTGACTTCTGAGAAGCTGAAAGAGCTACCTTCCCCTTAGAGGAACACGTGGTGAACACGACACTTTGATTTGGAAATCAGTTTACATAGCAAACCAAGAAAGACCTCTCTCCAAAAAGCCAAAAGGGCTCGGGCCAGCCAGTCCACTCCAGGACATCAAAGCCTGACCCCAGGTTGCTAATTGAATCCACAGGGTCTTGAAAAAGAACACAGCTTTGTGCACTCCAACAATTGGGCTGAACATACAGTTGTTCCTGGGGATTTCTCCCAGCAGAGTTCAGTACCCAAGGGTGGATCAGGCACCACCAGCACTGGTCAGAGCAGGTTATGTGTACTCCAGGAGACGCATCCTCATGAATCCCTTTGAACTGGAGAATCAGCTATGAACACAGGCCCTGAAACTGTGTCCTGCATGAAGTGATAAGACTGCGAATGGTTCAGATCAGCCCTTTCTCCTAATCACCTGATAACGGCCAACTGGGGCATCCGGGGGAGATTATCTCTCCCGGGCCTGTTTTGGAGGCTCTTATTTCTCGCTTTGGCTCGCCTTCCCCCCAGCCCCTTGGTCATTCATGCTTCCACCAGAGGGCAGGCAGGGCCCTGGACAGGAAGTGAAAGGCACGTCCTTCCACTCTGGCATCAACTCCTGAGGCTTACACAACCAAGCCACCACTCTTATTTTTTCAAAAACATGGAACAACAAGAAAGGAGTTCCTTTAGCATGCTCGCCAGGGATGGTCTAATTTTCAACAACTACAAAGTTTTCAGTTGTATAAATCTAGACTTGCTTATGTCAGTAGATACTTATAATTTAGAAGGGGAAGGGAATAAGCATTTGGTGCCTACTTTGTGCCAGGCACTGTGCCAAGTGTTTTGCTTTTTTTTTTTTTTTTAACAAATATTAACTCATTTAATCCCCACAACAACCCTAGAAGGCAATAACTACCCTCATTTCACAGCTGGGGAATTGGAGATAATCAGAGGTGAAGTGACTTGTCCGGGGTCACATAGCTAGTAAATGCCTGAGGCCAGATCTGAACTCAGATATCCCTGACTCCAGGCCTGGCGCTCTATCCACTGTACCACCAGCTGCCTCTCAGGCAAAGGTGAAGTGAATGGGTGGCTCAAAGGGCCTACCCTGTCTATGATATATACTTCAGGAAAATGCACTGCCAGATCTTTTCTCATTGCCCTGAAACCTGAAGGCTAATTGACTAGCAGGAATGGTACTATGGCAAGAGCAGTAGACCAGGAGGTTGGGAGACCTGGGGTCCAGCATGGCCCTGTCCCTGAGTCACTGTGCTACCCTGGGGAAGTTACAACCTCTTTGGGCTTCAGTTGCTCATCTGGAAAACAAAGTTTCTTCCCACCTGGTAAGCCTATGCTTCTAGGATGACCACTCCCTCTCATTCTTCACCACTACCTGGGCCTCTGATTTTGACACTGCAGTGGTGGTCAGTGGTTCGCCCTTCCACATACCAGCCAGACCAGCAGATCACACACAACATCACTGGAAGCTGAGCATTTACATGGTCCCTGCCGCCGCATCAAATGCCCCTCCCTTGAAGCCTGTCCCTCAAGAACAGCTATTTAAAAAGACATCTTACCACATTGCCTGCACGGACACGGGTTTGAATATGTGAACTCGGTTATCTGTTGAAACGCTGAACCCACTGAGGAGAAAAGAGAATAAAACAAATGCCACCAGTCAGAGGGGGTTACTGCTGCGGCGTTTTTCACCTTTTTCCAAAAGGCTCTTTCCTACCCTGGCACAACTGGTATGGCAGAAGGGATGCCAGCACTTGCATGGAAACCCACCACAGTCTAGCGCTGGAGCAAAAAGCTTATCACAAGAATGATTGTGGCTGGTTTTTATATGTTATGAGCAACAACTGGAATCTCAGAGTCAAGTCAGGGCAGGGCATTCGATCAACAGAGATTTCCAGCTGGAGGGGGGGACAAACCGTCCTGGTGTGCATTACAATTTGGAAGACCTCTAAGATGCAGCAAGTGAACTCAGGCCCTGGGAGCTGCTGCAAATAGCTTGGTCTCTTGCCTCTGTCATTAGGGCAGCCTCTAGTAACCCTGGGGTCCCTGTTGAGCGTATTGTGACTGGCACAGGAAGAACGTTACACAGTAGGGCAACAACTGGCAGAGAAGCAACACGCTGGCTTGAACAGGGATGCATTATCCTTTGGGCCACTGCAAAGCACTTAAGCTCTTATTTAACGTCTGGCCATTTGAGCGGCTTTTTCTTGCTTTGAGACTTATAAGGACTACACAGATATAATGCCTAACCTCTGGCCTAGAAACCCAGGAATTAGAGAAACTGGAAAGTTACATATTTTTTTCCACTCTTTTACAAAGCATGTTTTAAAAGGGCTCATTGAGCTTTTGGCCTGACAGTACAGTGGGCCTCCCACTGAGCTGAATGAATGTGCAGTAAGATGGAGCCCCACCCATGGGCACAATGAAAAGGAGAAGCTCTTACCCATCGCCATCCAGATGAATAAGTGTGTCACTCCAGAGAGGCAGGACCAGACCCATGGTACAAGTGCTACTGTGGGAACAAGAGACCCAGTCATTTCCTGCTATTTCAAAGCACAGTTCATCCAACAAGGAAGAGAAACTATCAGGTTACACATTTCCCAGTCAACTCTGAGGATTGTCTTCATTTGTGTTTGCTAAAAGCCTTTGAATCTACGATTTCTAATACCAGGAAATATACACAGCATGGTGGTCAAAGGGAATACACAAGCAAAGCAGAGAAAGGGTTACTAAGGACAGGGGAAGAGTAACAAAACATACGCACAGAAAACAACTGCAGAACATTTGGAAAACCAAGCATGGACAGTGAGAAGCCATGAAGTTGCTGCCGTTATTGAAACTTGGTAAGAATTTCAGCAATGAAAGATAAAGCCCATGTATGGTGTCTAAAGGCTAATGAATCTGGGCAAGCTTCCAGGAAGGTATCATCATCTCTATTTTATAGACACAGATTAAGCAACTGGCCTCAGGGACCTAATACTACATTAATGAACAGGCTGGGGCTAACAGCTAAAAGATCCTAACTCCCAACCTGTGCTTGGATCATTAACCACTCAAGTTCTCCAGACAGGGGTGAGCCACCAAATATGGTGCCACTGTGTTAGACCCTGGGCCTTTGGGAGTGAGATCCAAAACCCTGTCTGTGGTGGACTAGTCTCTCCATAACTGCTCTATACCCCCTGGTTTAAGAAGAATTCTGTGCCCTGCTGTGGGTGCTGAGAGATAATCTATCTAAAAGAGATGGGGACTTGTTCTTTAATAAATTAAAAGTCCTGAAGAAAGGTAATAGAGGTGTGTGTGTGTGTGTGTGTGTGTATGTGTGAGAGAGAGAGAGAGAGAGAGAGAGAGAGAGAGAGAGAGAGAGAGAGAAGCCTGCTTCAAAAACAGAAGAGAACCAAAGTGAGGAACCTTACACCTGTACCAGCTGCCGTGTAGCTCATGAAGGTCTGGCTGCCTGCACTTGATCTAATGTTTTTCCTTGCACTCACTGCCCCAGGTGTTACTCAACACCACCACCAGTGATTCCAGAGCTCATGAGATTCAAATCAAGATCGGAATAACTTACTCACATTAGAATCTGCTACATAGAGGCATGGCTACCATGCCAGCCTACAGGAGAGAAACAGCCTCCTCACTATTTCTCTTGCCTAAATGGGATGAGCTCATGAAAATGTGTTTTAAAAATGGCTTCCCAAGGTAGAGGGGAATTATTTTTAGTGTGTTTTAGTGAGTACTTAGCAGGGTCCCTAGCAACACATATAACTTGTGCTATAAATACTAAGGGTCCCCAGAGCTTAAGGAGATATGGCCAGAAGATGCAGGGGCTTAGAACCCGAGTCTAGAGGGACAGGAGAGGGAGAGAGAGATCTATGAACACGTCACAGCGAATTCTCAGTTTGCAGAATTTAGTTTAGGTGAGGGAGCTTCTTATGCTGGGAAGGAGGCACCTAAGAAACTGAAGTTTGACTTAAAATACGCTGGGGATGGGCAAATCTATTCTACCTGGAGGGCTTTCCTCATGAGGCTCCGGATTTGTTTTTGTAAGTATGTTTCCTAATTAACAAGAAGGCAATTGAACAATCCTAAAACTCTACAGGTTTGTCCCCCTGAAGCCCTATTTGGAGTAGTGCCATTTGGAAACCAAGGCTATATTTCATTTTTAAATAATTTTAAGTGGTTAAAATTCAATGTAACTCTCAATTAACTCATATGTAGGTGAAATTAATTTGCTGAAGCAACCCTAAAGAGCTTCTTGGGGATGCCATATCATAGACGGGAGGGGTCAAACTCCATGCAGCTTGAACCGGATTAAAATGTAACTGGGAAATGTTTAACAAATTCAATAAAAATCCAATCCACACAGAAACTGTTAATTTGTGGTTTTCCAAGTCAATATGCCAGGATCTGTTTCTATTTGAGTTTGACACCACTGGCCTAGATGACCAGCCTTCTAACTTCAGCTTAACAGTATCTTAAAGCTTCCAGCTTTCATATAATGGTATACAGTCACAATGATGCGAGTTCTTTCGCCAGGAGTTTAGATGAAAATGGAGCTGGGCCGACCTGCTGCCCTTGTCTTGGTCCTCTGGTGGTGAGGACTTTGGGAGTTTGGTGCCTGGGGAGCACACCTAGGTGTGCCTGAGTCACAAGAAGGACAGAAAACACAGGAGTTCCCAGCTCCTTTAGCTAACTGTGCTTCCTCTCATGTCCTCTCTGCTCCCACAGAACAGAGAAGTTTCCACTGGTTAATGGCAGCTCTTAGGTATGGCCTTTAAGGCCAGAGGAAAGAAGCGCCTCAGGGTACTGAGGACACATTCCTAGGAGCACATGTTGGCAAACTCTCCTTATGAGTGGTACTGAAGCTCAGGACAACGTCACAGAGATCAGGTTTGACCCTGGGCTGCTTTCTCTCTCTGGCTAGATGGAGCTGGTACCACAGACCCCATCTGACTCTGGTGACAGGAAACTGCCAACCAGCTTGGGAAAGAAACTGGTTTTAGCTTTGTAGAGACAGTCTTTCCAGAGGGCTCCCCAGGTTGGGGTGGGGAATCTAAACAAGGGGAGAAGAGCTGGACTGATGAAGAGGGTTGTGAAACATTTATCACAAAGTTCTACGATTATATGAAAGGTCAAGATTGACAGGAAAAATACTGGCTGACTGTTGCCCACATCCCACAAAAGGTGAAAATTCTTCTCCCTTCTTAAATCTGAATGGGAGAAAGCTTCCCATAGGTGGTTAAAAATCCCTGTATAACATCCCAGCATAAAATGAAAGGCAATACATGGTAATGCATGATAAAGAAGGGAACAGTCACAGCTGTGTGTTTCTGGTGACCCCCCCCAAAAAAAAACCCCTTCCAAACTGATGCCGTGGCTGCTGTGGATAACCAGGAATCTCCAGAACCAACTCTGGAATGAAAAGTTCACAGAGCAATGCTTTTTGGGGAAACGGTGGGATGTTTGTTTCCAGCTGGCTGAGCTGAGCTCACTGGGTGGCAGTGCTCACCCCCAACAGGCCCTGAGTTCCACTCTAGTTTCAAACCAGGAAGTCTGTGTGTCGAGACACCTGGCAGGATTTCCTGAGGCATATTATCTGGACAGCAAAGATTTGCTTAGCAGCCACATTCCACAGCCCTCCCAAGGCTTCTCCAGAAAATGAAATGGAAAAAAGGAAGGCACTAAACCTTAGCAACAAAAAGCAGCACAGGCCAAAGTGATATGTGATGGCTTCAGTTACAAGATTTAACATCCTGCTTAGGCCCAACAAAGGTATACAGGCATAAAAGCTTCTTATTAGCACGTGTTTCCTGAATTGAACTGAATTCAGATGTGACTCAGGGATTCAGTTTTCTTAAATACAGAGGAAGACGACAAAGAGCATAAGGCTTGGAAACACCACAGCTTATGACCACAGGTGAATACCTCTGATGAGAGTCTGCATACTACACTCAGAAGACACCGAGGAGTCAGGCCTGGTGGGCAGTTTGGTGGCCCAACTAAACGAAATTCTAACTGATGGAGATAAGGAGACAATTGACTAATTGACTTTCTCTAGGAACATGAACTAATTGGTTAATAGTTGTTTCTTAAAGTGGAGGAAGGGGGGTAGGGGGAGGGGAAGAGAAGGGGAAGGGTGACATGTGAGGAACAGATGACAAAACAGGGTTGTTGTTGTTTTTCAAAGCACTGTGGGTTTCACTGCCTCATTTCTCTCCAGACTTGGTGTCTAAGATCCACACCTCCCCCATCCTAGTTTTAGGCATGGGAATTGAATTATGCAAGAGGATGTCTACTTCAGTACAAAATGCCATTTATTTTAAAAGGAGTTTCTCTGTGCTCAGCACCATACCTGTCATTAGAGGAGAAATCCATCCCGAGGACAATGCTTTCTTCAGTATCTTGTCTGCCATTGGTTGAAACCACCACCATATATCTCGTGCGGTTCTGGTATGTGCTTTCCAATCTCACAGCCTGTAAGGTTCACAAAAAACCAGAATAACCTCAAGAGACAGAACTACAAGTCACATTGTGGACCTTCACTCCTGTTTAAATATGAATTTGCAGTAGATTTTCTGGTTACATTTCTATCGTCTTTGTCCTTGCCCAATAATGACCTCATTATTCAATCAAAACTGTTCTCTCCAAAGTTATTAATGATCTCGTAATCAACAAACTTAATGGCCTTTTGTCGATCTTTACCCCTTTGACCGTTCCAGCCTGAGACACAGTCACCCTTTTCTGGATGTTCTTTTCTCTCTAGGCTTTTGGGACATGGCTCTCCCCTGGTTCTCCTCCTCTCTGACCACTCCTTAGTCTCCTTTGCTGGAGTTTCATCTAGGTCCTGCTCGCTAACCATGGGTATCCCACAGGGCTCTGCCTGTGGACCATTTCACCTGGTGATCTCATCAGCTTGCATGGATTCAACTTTCATCTTTATATTGACACTTCTCAAATCTACTTATCCAACCTTAGCCTCTCTTCTGATGCTAGTGTCATTTCTCCAGCTGCCTATGAGACATCTTAAAGTGGCTATTCCAGACTTTTTTTTTTTGCTTTTGGTGAGGCAGTGGGGTTAAGTGACTTGCCCAGGGTCATACAGCTAGAATTCTATCCATTGTGCCACTTAGCTGCTCCTAAAACTCAACATTCCCAAACAACTCATCTGTCTTTCTAAACCTGCCTACCATCTTACCATCACACACACACACACACACCCCTCAATAAACTCGAGTGGCTGTCTATCACCCCCAGTATCAAACAGAAGATCTCTCTTTTGGCGTTCAAAGCCCTCCCTAATCTCCCCTTCCCGCCTTCCCCCACCTTGTCAGTCTTCTTCCATCTTACTCCCTGCCACATGCTCTCCAGTCCAGTCCCAGCCTCCTGGCTATTCCACAAACAAGACACTCTGTCCTCCAGTTTGGGGTATCTTCACTGGCTGTCCCTCATTAATGGAATGTTCTCTCCTCATCTCTACCTCTTGGCTTCCTTCAAATCCTGGCTAAAATCTTATCTCCTACAGAAAGCCTTTTACGAGCTCCTCTGCTGATCTCCAATTCATCCTGTAGACAGCTTTTTGTACAAAGTTGTTACATATTTTCTCCCCATTAGATGGTGAGCTTCCTGAAATTTTGCCTTTCTTTGTATCTCTAGAGCTTAGCACAGTGTTAGGCACTGTGTAACACATAGCAGGCACTTAATAAATGTTTGTTACTGACAAACATTAAAAGACTTTTTTAAAATTCAAGTTTCAGAAATGATACTTCTTTATTTTTATTCTTTGTAAGGCAATTGGGGTTAAGTGACTTGCTCAGGGTCACACAGCTAGTGAATGTGTCAAGTGTTTGGTCTAAGGTTGGATTTGAATTCAGGTCCTCCTGACTTCAGGGCCGGTGCTCTATCCACTTCGCCACCTAGCTGTCCCAATATTTCTCTCCCTTGACTGTGCTCGGGAAAGTGGACTTACATGTAGAATTTCTCAGCTTCCACCAGGTCATCCCTTGTCTGGTTTGGTACTAATCACGCTAGCCTCTACTGCAGTTTTGTTGTGACACCTTATTATGGGCCAACAAGTGACTCTAGCTTCTCAAAAGTAGGCCAGCAGAACACAAGGTCTGGTAGGTCTTACTAAGCCAGAAAGACTGGGCACAATCCCAGTGATGGAATGTGTATCTATCATTTGAGGATCAGCCAAACCAAGTATCTCTAGAATCTCTAGATCATCTCTAGACTGGCCACCATCTGATGAATTCCTTTGGCCATGGTAACTCACTAAAAGGATAAGATATGGAAGGCAGGGTTGCGGTCTGCAGAAGATGATGAACTCATAGATCTTTCAAAACATACCAGGCCTGGCCTCTGCCCAAATGTCTGGGTATAGAGACTAAGGATCACAGAAACATAGGGATAGCAATCTAATTTGGAGAAGTAAATGGTGGAATTCTTTTCTCCATTGTATCATCCTAAGAAAAGCCTAGGAAGCACAAATAGCAGCATACCTGGACACACACACACACACACACACACACACACACACACACACACAATTGTTTCTAACGAGAACTGACCCAATGAGAATGTAATACTGGTACTGTGTTGCCAAATTTACAAGATGGAGAACAGTAATGTGTGTTCCAGAAAGCTACATTATGGCAATTCAAGCAAAACACACTTAAGAGAAGCCAAGAGGAACTAAGATGAAAAAAGAAAAGAAAAGAAAAGAAAAACACCACCAAAAAACCCGGAAGGCCAGCCCTAGCATGCTAGGGTCAAATTAAGGGAAGGCACAGCTCATATCAAGCCAGAGGCTGGAATTGATGGAAATGCACCCTGGGCCCCAGGAGGCCTGGCTAATAGTTCCTCTTATATTTTAGGGCTTCTGGAACAGCTCCCAAGACAGTTACAATCATTTTCATCATGAAACCCAATTAGGGTAAACTGGAACACTGTACTAAATGAGATTTCAATGATGTTACATATTTGAACTCTTGCTTGCCTTGGTCAGCTGTCATTTAACATGAAAAAGGGAAGCCTCTTTGTGTTGCTTCCATCCCCATCATGTTTAGCTTCCTGAATGTGGCAGTGTCCCTTTTCATTCTACTCCAGCTCTGGGAGTTTCTGGCTGGGACTTTTAAAACATTCTGGCATAGGAATAACTGTCTTGCTCACTCCTCCTATACCAACTGGTAGCAATTAAGTGACTGAATCAAAGTTGATGAAGGGGGAAAATCTCTAGAAAAAAATTAGATGCAATACAAATTACCAAGTCAAGTGTGGAAGACCTTCTTTGTAAGAGATGTTTCATGATGACATTTGACATTTCTTACCTAGATAGCTAGAAAAAGTTCCTTGGGTATTTGGCTCTTCTTCGCATATTTTAATTATATATTAAATGGCAGGTCACATTATACTCAAATGAAAGCTTACTAACCCTAGAGGAAAGGACCCATTAATACCTTAGGTAAGGTTGCTGCTGTTCATTCTCTTTTTCAGTCATGTGCAACTCTTGGTGACTCCATTTGGATTTCTTTTGGCAAAGATACTGGAGTGATTTGCCATTTTTTCTCCAGTTCATTTTTGCATAAGAGGAAACTGAGGCAGACAAGGTTAAGTGACTTGTCCAGAGTCACACACAGTTAATAAGCGTCTGAGGGTGGATTTGAAATTAGGAAGATCTGTCTTCCTGACTGCAGGTCTGATGCTCGATCCATTGTACCACCTAGCTGTCCCAATGGGTAAGGTACCATGTATGTGTATTAACATGAGATGGGATGAGTTTCTGGGACCATTCTGTTCTAAACCCTTTAGCTGGATTAAAGACTGAAAGTATTTCAATTCTTAGGATTTAATTCTTCAGGATAAACAACTCTGTTGACAGCATGGAGAATATTGTCTGAGTCTTTACTAAGAGGAGTCTATGATGTTTTATATTTAGATATCCTCTAAGAGGTGTGAGAGGAGAATCTTAATTTAAAATCCCAAGTCCTGGGAGGCACAGGCATATCCAAATAACCAAAAACTTGCTCTGGCTCCAGCTTGCTTCTGCATTCTTCTGCAGCTACCCCCGCTTGAGAAAGGATTAACATAATCTAATTTATTTCACTAAGCCAATTTGAGTAAAAACAATTTTAAAAGGCATCCTTTGCCTAATACTCCCTAAAAATCTCTGGTAGCTTCCAAGTTTCTTTGGGGTCAGGAAGCAATGTGGAATATAAGCCTGGAGAGACCCTGATTTGGAAGTAGGTGAAAGAAGAATCTTCTGTGAGGCCCATGGACAGGGCAGGCCATATGGAGAGCTGACCCTTTGACAGGGCCTTCCAACATGCACTTTCTTTCCTTGGAGTCTTAGTAAATTATGGATCTGCTTGCACTTCCTCTTTTCAACTACTGATATTTACAAGACCCAAATTCAGATTTCCAGACTCAGAGCTACTGCCTGAAGTTGGTAGTGCCAGGATTGCAGTCCTCCTTTACTAGGTGAGAGAGTGAAAAATTGGCCACAATGGAACGTCCACATGGTCTCACGTGGCTGGGGAGTTCTTTTACTTTTTTAAAATTTTTATTAATTTATTTTGATTTATCAACATCACTTTCATAAGCTTTTGAGTTTTAAATTTTTCTCCCTCTCCTTTCCCCCCTCTCTCCCCAAGACAGCATGCAACCTGATATAGGCTATACATATACATTCCTATTAAACATATTTTCACATTAGTGATGTTGTAAGGAAGAATTAGAATCAATAGGAGGAACCACCAGAAAGAGGAAACAAAACAAAACAGAAGAAAAAAAAGTAGCAAATAGTATGCTTCAATCTGCATTCAAACTCCATAGTTCTTTCTTTGGATGTGGATAGCATTTTCCATACCGAGGCCTCTGGAGATGTCTCAGATCCTCACATTGCTGAGAAGAGCTAAGTCTATCAACGTCACTCATTGCACAACGTGGTTGTTACTGTGTATAGCATTCTGGTTCTGCTCACTTCATACAAGTCCATACATCAGTCCATACAAGTCTTTCCAGGTTTTTCTGAAGTCAGCCTGCTCATCATTTCTTACGGCACAATAGTATTCCATTATATTCATAAACTACAGCTTGTTCAGCTGTTCCCCAGTTGATGGGCATCCCCTCAATTTCCAATTCTTTACCAACACAAAAGAGCTGCTATAAATATTTTTGTACATGTGGGTCCTTTTCCCATTTTTATGATCTCTTTGGGATACAGTTAGGGAGTTCTTAAGAACAGGATCATGAACACAACTTGTTGACTCCAAGGACAGACAGGTTTTCTTGTGACTCCACCACAGGAACCCCTGCAGCTGGGTCTATGCTTTCTTTCCCATGATGCATTCCCCTCCTCAGAATCCTTTTCTTCTTTAAAGGTACAGTACAAGGATAAATTGCCATATCCCTCATCCTTCCTGTGGGTCATGGCTCTTTCCCTCCATAAATTACTGTGTATTTTACTTATGTGTGTGCAGGTTACAATGCTCCCAGTCAAGATAAATTCTTTAAGATGCAGAAGCTGCCATTTTTGTCTCTGGGTCCCCAACAGTGAAGACAGGGCCTCACACGTCCTTGATGAATTGAATTCCCTTGATGTACCATTACCACTTCAATGTTCAATAGCTTTCTCTGTCAAGAAGCCTTAGAGGCTGTGGTTCCTGACCCTTTTAAGCCTGAGGGCCTCCTTTCTCACATGAACCAATTTCAAAGACAGACTTCTTTACCAAAGAGCAGTTATTCTCTAAGTATCTGTTGACTGAGAAAAATCCCTGACAAAAGGCTGCTGTGACAAATTCAGAAAAACTTTAAAAGAATTTATTTTCATCACAACAGCCTTCAAATGCATCTGAGAAATAGCCCATATGAAACCTTTTCACTTTTCAGAAGGAACAACAGATTGAGTATTATAAGTGTTCACTTGAGATGTCCCGTGGTGCTCAGCATCTTTCAGAGCCTGGAAGTCTGTTTGAAGCAATCGGTTTCACCCTTAGCTCTGGTTTCACATTTAGCCTGACTTCCTTTCATTTTTTCACCTAAACTTCAACAAAACAAATGCAGAAAATCCTCTTTCACTCATCATTCAAACTGCATATTTTTCTGGCCTTAGATAAAGATCAAGATAGTGACCATGCTTGTTGTGTGCAGGGCTTTAAAGATCCTGGGCAATAACCCCACAGCCTCTGGAGGTTTACCACCGTCCTTAGGTAAATCCCTCATGCTGCAGCTTAACGCCATATTTTTTGTGTTGAGTTTTGGTGAAGATGGAAAACACCTGGCCATCACCCTCTGCATACTAACCTTTTCCACACCACACTTAACATGTTGACTTTGGGTAAACATACCAACTACTGTGCTCCAAAAGTATTTACCTTCACAACAAAACATTTTCTCAATAAAAAGACAAACTTCTCATTACCTATTCCTCTCCCCACCACCCCTTAGCATCAGAAATGTCCCACTAGAGCTTGCTAGGACTCTGCCTTAATTGCAATTTCTTTTTGCTAAGAAAAAGAGCCATGCTTTATATTGTGCCTTTGTACACAATATTTCTCTCTTGTCAAGAAAATTATATTATGAAGGTCCAAAGTCTAGACATGGGGCCCACCTGCTCTGTCAGAGGTGCAAAAGTAGGTAAATATTGAATTCCAGACAGCCAAATGACAAAGAAAATCTATAGCTCAATTTAAAATAGACTTCAGACATGAAAGAGTTTGAAGATTCTTTTCTTCGGAAAAAAAATGATTAAGGTTAAAGGTAAGCACCAGTTTTCAATCCTTTCTACCTTCATGAAGAATCCTGGATGCACCTAAAATCAATGCATCCTAAAAATAAACTCAACCATTTTTGAAAAGACCTGCTTCCAAAAACACCTCCTTCTTGACATTATCAGCACCACAGTGATGCTGCAGCTTCAGGGCTAAGAACATGTTTTCACAGAAGGCAGCCCAGTAGTGAGGCCATAGGTTAGTCCAAGGGTTACTAAAAGTCTTAATTGTCTTCTGCCTTATTCCTGTTAGGCCTGGTCTAAAATGGTCTACTTTTTGTATCTAAGCTTGAAAGTCGTGGTCCACCAGCAACGTACGTAGAGCTCATATTCTTCCTAAGAATTCACACTGCTAAAGGAAAAGGCTGGCTTCATTCCAGTTACTTGTCATCTTTCTAATCTCACTTTCAGAAAGCAAAGATTGAGAAGGGAGAGGGCAGTGGTGTCTCTATTTACTCTTGGGTTATCCTGAAAATAAAACAGTGAGCTTCCAGCTGACTCTCCAACTTTTAATCTTATGCAAAGTCCCAAGATGACAGTTCTAACATTCCACATTTAACTTTAAACAAAGGACTTTGCTTGGACTCTACAAAGGCTTCTTTTAGCTACAAAAAGCACTAACTGGTCAAAAGTCACACAATGTAGCGAGTGATTTGGCTTGAAGATGACTCACTTAATGGTCTGCAACATAATGACTGTATATTTAACAGTTTGATATAATTGTAAAACACTGTGTCACGTCCAAATTCCAAATTAGTCCAGAAATTTCATTTAAATCTTTGGAATTCATTTTTAAAAAATGTTAAACAGCTGAAACCACATGTTCAACTCCAGGAATTGTAGGATTATAGATTCAGAGCCTTAACGGACCTTAGAGGCCAACTAAGAAAGCAAGGATTGAACTGTCAACTCTAGCTTTGGCTCTGCCACTAATAGGTGGTCCTGGGGGAGTTGTTTTTCCTTTGTTTCCCCAACTGTAAAACTGGGAGGCTGGACTAAATGATCCAACAATCTAGTCTAACCATCTACTACAAACATAACCTTGTCCCTATGTTTAGATAATACACTGTTCCTGTCCTCAAGGGGCCTGCATGACTAGTGAGGATGGGGAGGGGCCAAAACACCAGCAGAGACAAGCATCTTTTGTAGCGTGACATGGTAGGCACAGCAGGAATAGAAAGCTCCAGGGAGCACATGGCCCTGGAGCTGGACTGTTAAGGACAGGCTGGAATTCAATCACTATGGCAGGGTGGGCATGCCAAGCGAAGAAAACTGTGGGATACTGTAATGCCTCCTGAGGAGACAGAATTATGCTCAAAGAAGAGAATATGTGCAGCAGCATGAGATGAGATGAATCTGGATCATGAAAGTCCTTGAAGGACAGGCTGAGGAATTCAAACTTTACACGGGGCAAAGGGGAACCATTAACCAGTATGAACGGAAGGATGAGAATGGAGGCAGAAAACCCTATTGAAATAGTCTAAGTGGGTGGTAATGAGAGTTTGTATTGAAAGCAGTAGCAGTGGGAGGGGACAGATGTAAGAGATGTTAGACAGTGGGCAGAAAACTGGATTTGGAATTAGAAGGCCAGAGTTCAAATCTTGGCAATGACACGTATTACCTGTGTGACCTTGGGCAAGTCATTCCTCCAACATAGGCCTCAGTTTCTTCATCTGTTAAATGATGAGGGATTGGACTCAGGGGCCTTCCAGCTCTAAATCTCTGATCATATGGAGGTAGGATTGAGGGGATTCAGTAACCAACTAGACATAAAAGGTGAGGGGAAGGGAAGAGGCAAAGATAACAACCAGGTTTCAAATGGGAAGCTGGGAGAATGCTGGTACAATTAACAGGAATAAAAAATTGTTAAGAGGGAGGAGCAGGTTAAGGGAGAAAAGAATAAAAGCTCAGGTGTTGACACGCTGAATCGAGTGCAGATTAAACACTGAGGTGGAGAGGACCTAAAGATACCTGAATATGCAGGTAGGTCTGGAACTTGGAACCTGAAAGGAAAGTCAAGTCTGGGCATGGAGACTTTGGCATCCCTGGCACTGAGACCTGAGAGATGGTGGGCAGGCAGAAGCAAGGAGGAAGAACAGAAGGAGAAATGGGCCAACGACAGATACTTGAGGAACACCCACACTGAAGCATCAGAAAGAGGATGAGGAACCAAAACCGTTCCTCTCAGCTCTTCACCTCCTATGACCCTTCTTAAGAGCAGAAGCTCATGTCTTATCTTTATATCTCCACTGCTTAGCACAAGCCTCGTACAGAGTACGTGCTTAATAGGTCTTTGCTGAATCAAATAACTTCAAATTCCTGTTTCTCTCTACTGCTTTATCTAGTCTAGGGATGAGGAACCTGCAGCCTCGAGGCTATATGCGGCCTTCGAGGTCCTCGGGTGCAGCCTTTTGACTGAGTCCAAGTTTTACAGAACAAGTCCATTAAGGGGATTTGTTCTGTGACATTTGGATTCAACCAAAGGACCACACTTGAGGACACAGAGGGCTACATGTGGCCTTGAGGCTGCAGGTTCCCCACCCCGATAATCCTTTCTTGGGTACAAAGTTACTTTTATATCCAGGAAATACAATCCAATATCAGAAAAGTCACCAAGAGAAAAAGGGTAAGAAGAGAAACCATGAGATTAACCCCATTCATCAAATTGGGAGTGGCAGCATTGGTAGCAGACAAGAAGCCAGCCTGGCTTTTCAAGGTTCTCAACAGCTTGGTTCCCTGCTACCTATCCAACTGTATTTCTTACCACTCCACAGGACAAACCCTCCTAACCCTAGACTGGGGTTCCGCCATCTTTTATCCTCCTCTGAATTCCAATCACAGTTAGAACCTGTAACATACTTTGGCACTTTATTAGACATTGCCTTGCTCAAGATGTGGTAGAGCATTCTGAGCTCATCACAGCCCCAGACGCATTGTAACTTGACTGTAACATGATGTCATTTTTGTCCTCTTCGAGAACGAAGGACAACAGCCAATAAACCAACTAACCAACCAGATACTGCCTTGTAGCCTTTGTTTCACAGGTGTTAAAGTGTCATCTCGATAATCACCTGAGTCTGCTGAGAAAGACCATCATTCTCTTAGTTTCCCCTAGAGGCCGATGCTAGAGAGTCGGGCAGAACCAGAATGCTGAATAAGCACCTACTGAGAGTCCTAGTCTCTTGCATGGTATTGCACTCCCTTGGAAAACAGCTTTGCCTCTAAGGCTCATTAGTCAAAAACACTTACCAGCCTAATGTTGTCTTCAGGGCGGAGTAATATGAACATGGCCTGCAGGTGCTGCTGAAGATCACCTGGAGAAGTTCACAAAAGAAAGGTTGAGGCTGGCTCTAAAGCTCTCTTAGGACTTTGGTAAAAGTGAAGCTGTGGTTCACAGACTGACTCCAAGATATGGCATCAACTAAGCTGGTTTCTTAATGGTGGCAAGTGATTTCCCACCTATTCAAGATAATTGGAAAGTGGACTGTTTCCTTACATTTTGAGATGTCATTTTACTAGATTAATTTCTTTCTTTATGGCCCTTGTAAAACAACCAGTAAAAGACCCTGGTCATGTACTATAGCAGATTGAACAGGGCCATGAAACCTACTGGTACACAGTTAATATTAGATATCCATCTCACACCAAGGGAAACTTTAGGAGACCACGGTTCTTTTGAACGCAGGACAAATATCAGATATAACAGTTCCCTGGTTAATCCTGGTCTGGAGCTAACTATTTAAGATATTTCAAGTCACAAAAATCAGAAATATTTTAGATGCCTTCCTTCTAAGAATACTGCCTAGAATATCAGAATTTTCAATCTCCCCCCACATTAGTGAGGGTATTCAGATAGGAAGAAGTCGCAATCTTTCTACTGATAATAGTGCAAAAGAGACACAGTGCTGTGATTGGGGGCAGGGAGAGAACATGTGGGTGGAGTTGAGGAAAACCGCGCATGGAGATAAGTTCTTTCACAGAGAAAGCAAACCAGAGGGCAGAACAGTTTGACCCTGCCCAACCCATTTCTTCTGGTTGAAAAGATACCATGTTTTGGAGAGTTGTGTAGCTCAGATGAAGATCCTACTCTCTCTACAAACCGTATTGTGTCAGTTGCCCTCACAGTTGTTGACAATAAGGGAAGAAGGAAGGAAGGGAGGGAGGTGAGAAAAGGACAGACTGTAAGGCACGCTGCCCAACGCACTTCTCTTTCTGGGTGCTTTTTGAGGGTCATTTAGTCAGGAATTTTTTTGAGGTGAGGAGGGGAAAGGAGATTATTTGTAAGCATTTTATTCTATTTCCCTTCATTTCAGTGATGGCCACTAGCACTCTCTCCAATATACAGTCTTTTAACCTTCTTCTGAAAAATTTTTAAAAATCTCTTTTGTTTTTATATTCTCTTCCTTTATGAACATATCCCTTCATCAAGGCATCTCTTATAACAAAGAATTCAAAACAAAACACAACAAAGGATTCCAGCAAAACTCCACGAAATATCAACTAGTCTGGGAACTGAAGTTTCCAAAGCAGCACGGAGAGACTGAGCAGGGCAGCCCAGCCCCATCTGATTTCACCATACACCTCAAGACTCCTCAGCAGGAACTGGGCTGGGGAGGTCAAGCATTAACAGTTCTTCTTGCTTCGTTCCATACTGTATCCTGTCAGGGGAGGCCTCTGCAGCTGCTCCAACGTTAACCAGTGTGGGGAGGGACTACCAGGAGGGGAATCACTTTTGTAGAGTGCCTTAAAGAGCACCTGGTACATAGTAGGTGTTTAATAAATGCTTTATCATGTATTTCGATCATTCTTTGGCACAATGATACAGTCAAATCACATGAAGGATGGAAAGGAGGTAGACAAGTAGCTCTAGTCCCTAGGGTAATAAGGCTTCTGAGAGCAATGGGCACAGGGAAATGTCCCCCTGAAAAGGAGCTGCCCACGTTCTGGAATTCACCTCCCTTCCTGCACTGCCAGAGACAGAGGGGGCAGACCAGAAAGGACGTGGCTCTGGGGGCAGCTGGGATGCCCTTCTCACCCTTTTAAAATTCCATTTGCTGCTGCCAGTAGGTAAATTTCAACAGACCAGAAATTTTTACAACCCTGACCATGTCTGCTTTCTCTTCCCAATGTTAATAGGCACAATCCTTTTTGATCATCTATTTGATGAAGTATTTGAATATTCAAATGTAGACAGGAATGGATTCAACACATTTCCTCCTCTGACTATAAGGAGGCAGCACAAGAAGCATAATCCCTTTTCCACGTTATTAGAGGTCTGCAGATATCTTGATGGTACAAGGGTTGTTTGTGAATCTGCAAGCATCATCAGCCCACTAATTAACATGAATTGGGCTGGCTGGCTCCAGAAGGTGTCAGTCACTGGGAGCTGGTATTTATACTGACAGGGCCTGATCTGTTCTGGTCCAGATCACAAATCAAGCTCATTCAACTGGTTCCAAATCTCTTCCTCCTTTTCTCTCCACTCTCTTCCTTCCCCCAGCCCCTGCTTTTTTATTTAGTAAAGGAAAAAGCTGAATCACTAAAAGTCAAGTGGAAACCTGGACTGAAGTTGTTTGAGGAAGTTTAGGCAAAAGAAAAAAAGGCCAGCTAGGGCTAGGAGCTTTAAAAGCCGCTGACCCCACAAAGAGACAGATCCTCTGAACAACTCATTCAGAGGGGCTGGACTGCAAGCAATACTTTCTCTTTCTTCCTTGTACTGTACAAGATGAATACCCAACATCACTCTGACATAAGGAGCCTTGCTAGGGCTAGTTCCTCCCTAGTAAGGGGCAGCAAAGAAAAGTCTTAGGGTTTTTAAAATCTGAGGGCAGATGGATAAAAAAGGTTGCCCTCAGCCACCCTATTCCTTACTGTGTTAAAATGCTTCCCTGGCTTGAGATTTGCTGTGTAAGGACAATGTCATCACTGACCTGATTGATTACAACTCCACATGGCATCACAGGAGAGTGGCACCACTGCCCCTAAGATGCCCAAGATCCTTGAGTCAGTTATAGCTTCAATGGGATCCGGTATTTCAGGGTTTGACCTCCGACCTACTGGAGGTCTTTAGTGTGGTTTGCTCCCTTCCCGCATTCACAACTTCTTCCATTCCTGGAGACCATAAATGACCACAACTGTCACAATGAGTAACAACTTCTTTCCAGCAGACCAGCTTGGGCCATCATGTCTGACCACTGTTCTCAAGCTGACATTTTCCAAAAGATCTTTAAAAAGTGGGCATGGTAGGCAGATTGGCTTCCTGACATGCCCCACCCTCAACAGCCTCCTTTTCTTTAAATTTTCCTTGAATTCATATACAAAGTTTCTCACTTAATATGAATTACTCTTTGTTACAAGACTTCAGATGTACCTTACTTTAAGCAAACCCGATATATAGAAAAAAAAAAAAGCTCACAGCTTACAGGATACTAGAGCAATGAAAGGGACGTCAGAGACCACCTAGTCTAATCTCACTTTACTGATGAGGAACCAGGTTCAGAAAAGTTAAGTGACTTGCCCTTTGGTCAGACAAGTAATAAATGACTGTGACTAAGTTATATACTATTTTCCTCCTAACAACCTTGCAAAATAGACAGCAGGATATTATCTCCATTTAATGGACTAGCTCAGAATAAAAGTGAATTTCTCACATTTGGTAAGTAATTAGAGCCAGGGTTCAAATCTATACCTTCTGATCCTCTTTCTACCACAATCACTCTCAAAATTCAAGTTTGGACAAATGAGTGTTCCTTATAAATTATCCTTCAACTAATCATTCAGTTTCTTTGCATTCAGTTAGAGACTCTTACCTACATGTCCTGTCTCTTGTAAGCTCTGTGAGGGCAGGCAGACATGTCTTACTTAGTTAGCTTGTATGTTCCTTTGTACCTTGCACATAGCAGGCACATCGTGTTTGTTAAATGAATCTTTTTTGGGAATGTACATATCTAGGATTACAGGGAGAGGTTTAATGGAATTATCTTAAAGAACTTTTAATTTGTATTAGATTAATCTGTATTTTAATTTGTCTTAGAACAAGCCTTGATGTCATGAGAACCTTAAGTGTGCTTGCTTTTTTATTTCTTATTTTCTCTGTACCAGCATTAGAAAACGTGGATGAAAGAAACACCATTTATTTATTAAGTACCTATTATGTGCCAGGCACTGTACTAGGTGCTGGGAAAACAAATAGCCAAGTGAGGCAGCTCTTGACCTCCAGGAGATTATATTCTAACATGGGGGCACATCACCTTTAGGCAGTTAAGAGGTGACCAGGCCAAAGAGTTTGGTGTGGGGCAGTGGGCTGTTGGACTGTGTGACTTCTGCCAGTTCCAACGGCAGCTCCAGAACAAGAGTCCAGAGGACCCCCACAGGGGAATGACAGGAGGGAGAGCAGACAGCAGGGTGCCCCACAAGGGCCTACTTTCCCGGCAGATGCTGGATAGGGTGCGAAGGGGACACCTACACAGAGGGTTAGTGAGCTGTCACTCATTTCTCTACCAGCCAGGAAAGCTCAGGCCCAGTGTTGAGTGCATTCACTGGTGGCTTAGGGGCGTATGCAGTCTCTCGAGGTCAGATCCAGAGTGTGGTTGTACCAGGTGGGGAGCAGGGGTGCCACAGGGCAAGGAACTCCTGGTTTCCTGGTGGATTTTTGCTGGGATGTGGCTAGTGAGGTCTAGTGCTAGCTAGATCTAGTGGGCTAGAGTAGTTTGCACTCACTCACCCTAGACAGAAATAATTTTAAGGGCTTTTGTTTGGAGGTGAAAATTATATGCTCAAGTCCAGAGTTTCAAAAGCCTTTGGTTTTCCCAGAATCTTAAGGGAACACACCCCCTGAGGCATCTTTGGCTTGGTCCCGTAGGGGCAGGAAGGCAATTTCAGCTCAATAAGGACAATTCGGTCAATTATCCAGGGCAAGAATGAAATGGAGTTCCTGCCATCCCTCAGATCCTGTGATTCCAAAGGAGAAGCTCCATCCCATGAGACTGCTCTCCACATTTCCTGCCATTACTGCAGAATAGCTAGAGAAGCCTGGAAGGGGCAAGGCGACCGAGGAGGACAGGGCGCTGCTTTACCTGCATGCTTGTTGCGCCTGTGACTGATTCTTGGTGTGGATGACCCATTTCCCCGTGGTAGGAAGAGGGCTGCACCTTTCACAGTGAGGAAACTTTCGCTGATGCTACAGGGAAAAATCAAAAGGGAGAAACTGGATTAAAGCAGATTTAGATGCAAGAAATTAATGAATAGAAAACAAGAGTTGCTTTAGAGACATACTCTCTACAGTGGTGATCCATGCCCAGCACCAAGCAACAGAGGAACAGTAATGCAAGCTGTCATCTGCAGAGTGCTTTAAGGTTTACCATGTACTTTTCTCATAATCCAGTGATGAGGTATCATTATTATCATCCCCACTTTGCAGATGAGGAGACTGAGGCTTTGAGATGGGAAGTGACTTGGTCACACAGCTTTAAGTTTTGAAGGTGGGACTCTGAATCTTCTGACTCCAAGGCCAGGACTCTTTAAAAAGACAAGCCTTTTTCATGCAGTCTTACTTTCTAGATAAGTGTTTCAATTCAAACATAATACCACACAAATGCCATCTACTCAAGGTATACTTAGTGAATATGAAGTCGGTAGGATGGAAAAAACCCATCATAATTATATACACACCAAGCCTTCAGACTTTTGAAGGGGCTGCTATCTGAGAGTGGTCACTCACACTAAAAGGGGCTTGTGGGCTCTCTCTCACATGGCTGATGCTGTGTGGTATACATACTGCTTTAACTATTTTATGAGCTGCAAGAAAAACATAGATTTTGAAAAGTCGTCTTTGGACTCCAGGGTTCTAAAGAGCACCTCTGAGAATTCTGTAGTCCTAGTGGTGAACTTTAATTGGTAAGAGTCGTAATATTTTAGCTTTGGAAGGGGTCTATGAGATCATCCAGTTCGAGAGTCAGCAAACCACCTGTTGGGCCCACTGCCCACTAAGAATGACTTTTGAATTTTTAAATACAAACAATTAGCTTGAAGGCCTTACAAAATCAGGTGGAAGGACCCATCATAGTTTGCTGATCTCTGAGAGTCCAATGCCTCCGTTCTCTGCAGATAACTAAACTATCTATAGATATATATAGTCTGTAGAAGTGGAGTGACTGGGCCCAGATCACAAAGCGAGTTTGTGGCAGGGGGAGACAAGCTCAGAGTTTCCCTGATCCCCCAGCCAGGGCACTATTCACAACAGGCATTTCTAGGCAGACCACGACCTGCAAGTACTTGTTCACCAATACGTATAAGAAGTCTTAGGCCTTCAAAACATGAAAAAAAAAATGATGCAGAGAGGTGGGAGGGACTTTTGTTTCGTTAAGCTGCTCAGGTTTTTTCACTCTTAAATTCTTGGTTATAAAGGTTGGTTTTCTTGGGGAAAAAAGGGAGAAGAGATATATTTAGAAATAAAAGTGATATTAAGAAAAAGCTAGCAAAAACTTTAAAAAAGGCAATGCCAAAAGGCCTCATCATCTCAGTCTTCTGTGAGACTGAAAACCTAGGCTCCAGGGGAGCATCCGCGTATACATTCATCCCCATATGAAGGGGCCAGAAAACATGACTCTCTGATGGAACCAGCTCAGGAAAGCAAATAAAAGGGAAATGAACATCTGAGCAGAGGCAGCAGCTCCTCTTTAGTGTGAACACTTACAAAGTGCCTTCCTCATAACTGCCCTCCTGGGAGGGGGCTTCATGAACCTTCCTTTCTGTACTAGGAGGCTGTGAGGCAGAGAGGCCAAGGCGTCTGTGCGAGTCTCCTGATCTTATGCTGCCTTTCCCACATGGTTATTATGAGACGAGCCTTGTTGGCTGAGTTTAACCTTTTTATCAAACAGAGCTAAGAGTGAAAATAACTCTGTGAGATAATACCCACATGGAGAAATTGAAGCCCATCTCCAAATTCACAGACAATGCTATTCCCCTGAATTGGCGAGCAAGTTGCAGGGAAGTCTTGATTTGTTTTGTTTTCATTTTTAAATAAAGCCTTGAGCTTTTGTGGTTTGTTGCACAAAATGTGTCTCTTGTTACATCTGTGGGGTGCACACGTCATCCTGTTGTGTGGGTCACTGTGTTTCACTTACATTACGGGAACAACTCAAAACAAAATGTCTGAGTGACAGGATGAAGCCAGCACACCACAGACAGGAAACGAAATTTACATTTCCACCAAGACAACTATTTTGCTTTATGAAATGAAAATAATTTTGAAGACAAAATCAAACTTCATCACCAGCAGAATAATAACTTTGGGCACTTGGGATTCCAGCAAATCAAATCCCTCTTTATTTCTACAAAGGGACATTGGACACAAATTCATTCAAGACACCAACTGAAAGCTTGAATCCACTGTCAGGAGCAGATAGGGAGGAAGGAAACACAATTTATTTAGGCACCTACAACGTGCCAGGTCCTGTGTTAAGTGCTGTACATATCTGATCTCATATGATCCTTACAATAACCTTGAGAGTTAGGTATAATTATTATCCCCATTTTATAGTTGAGGAAACTGAGGCAGACAGAGATTAAGTGACTTGCCCAGATTTATGTAGCTAGTAAGTATCTGAGGCCACATTTGAACTCAGGTCCAATGGACTCCAGCCCATAGCTCTCTACCCAGCTGCCTCTTCTTGCTACTAATCCTCAGGCCAAAGGTCAATTTGAGGCCTAAATTTCTGGCTTTTGACATTTTGTGATAATAAAATGCACTATACTTTAAATGAATCCAATATATATGTTAGGATTTAATTTTTTTTCTTTAGTAACAGACTTCTCTGCCAATACAATGTTGGGCTCCACTAATACTCTTTTTCAAAAAAAGGTACCAGGATTTCATTTTCATGAGGGGAAAAAAAGGAGTACATCATCTACCTAACCCTGACCAGTCAACCCACCAATGCTTGCTTTTGGCTACAGGAAGGATCAGGTTAGAGAATGCTTAACCTCAGCAGTAAATCACCATTCCCATGAACACTTCCAAGAACTCATCCAATTGATCCCCTGCACCCTTGACCTTTCCCCCTCCAACTGCTTTCTCTCCAGCACTTTGCAGATGGTGGGTGTCTAATAAAATGTTGGTTGACTTTTGAATGGCGGGTCAATAGTGTCCTTTTCGATGCAGACAGTAGAAATTGCTTTTCCATTTAGAGAACACTCAGCCCTGAGTTTGCTCAGGGCCAGTTTTTTTTTTTAAAGTCTCTTCTATTAAACTTTTTTAGGTAGACCAAGTCCAACTCAACCATTATTTATTGAGTATATTCCATGAGGGAAGGCACTGTCAGACCAAATCCAGGCTACCAAGACAAGGTGAAGAGGCCCTCACCCTCAAGAAGTTCATGGTCCAGTAAGCAACCTGACACTTTTTGTACAGGGAGATATTATTATTATGAGAATCTATCACACATTTTGGGGCAGCCAGGTGATAACGGTGGATAGAGTACTGGGCCTGCAGTCAGGAAGACCTGAGTTTACATACAGCCTCAGACACTTACTAGCCATGTGACCCTGAGCAAGTCATTTCACCCTGTTTGCCTCAGTTTGCTCATCTGTCAAATGAGCTGGAGAAGAAAACAGCAAACTGCTCTAGTATCTTTACCAAGAAAACCCCAGATTTGAACAGTTGGACATGACTGAAATGACAGAACAATGAATAATCACACATTTTTAGCAGGAGGACAAAAATCTTCATGTTTCTTGCCTTAACAGTCCTAGCTGCATTTGTGAAAATGCCAGTCTTCCTCAACAGCTGTCTCTGGAGAAAGCCAACTGACAAAAACATAATTTCTTTATGTCAGTCTCTTAAAAAAAGCAGGTGTCCAGGGTCCTCAATTTTTCAAATTTTTTAAATTTCCTTTAGGCCTAGTTCATGAATATGCAAAGTCTTCTCTAGTTTACTCCACAGAGCCTGGCTCAGATGAGGGCATCATTTCTAAATGGCCTCAGATGTGGAAGACAAATAAATATAAACACCAGAGGACTTAAGACCCATAACTTGCAGGTTGAGAAAAGGACGAATGTAAGAGCATCTAAAGGACTCGGAGTTATCATTTCATTAAAAAAACCCTGCATCCTTCTTAAATAGCTGTTTTCTCTTGGGAAAGAGTAGATATGATGAGAAAATGATATGTAAGGCATTTACAATATTATCTTTCCAATTTGGAGGAGCAGAAAAATACTACAGAGCTTTAAATGTTAGTGCGGTTGAAAAAGATCTATTCCTTTCTATGGGACGTGCTTATTAGATACTGGCTGTGCTAAAAATCATTACGGACTAGAGTTATGGGAAAATACGTTGGAGAACTTATTGTCCCAAGAGACAAAAGCACAGTGACATTCAACATAGTCCCCATCAAAGAAAATGAGGGAATGGGGGTGAGCAGCAGTAGGTTATAGGTCAAGAGGGTCCAAACTCATCCCTCAATTTTTCACACTCCTCTTTTTAAGTCAGGACCACAGATAGAAAAGATCGAATGTAGGGAGGGAGCTGAGGAAAGGGAATGTAGTATGGTGACTATAACAAATTCCTTTTTTTCCTAGGACAGTTCTGATTTTAAGACACATTATTTTAATTGGGCTTTGCAAAAGGGCTGTCCTTTTACACAACTCTCTCTCTCTCTCTCTCTCTCTCTCTCTCTCTCTCTCTCTCTCTCTCTCTCTCTCTCTCTCTCTCTCTCTCCCCCTCTCTGATGATGCATTACCATCTGCTTTGCAGTTGCATGCTAAGGATTAGTGGGCTTTTCTATCTGACCAGCAGCTGTAACTTCCTACATATGTTGTTTCTCGTACTAGAATGGGAGTTCCTTGAGGGCAGGGGCTGTCTAGCTTTTTGTATCCCCAGGGCTTAGTATACTGTTTTACACAGAGAAAGTGCTTAACCAATGGTTTTTCATTCATTAATTCTTCAGAACATGTACTGGTTTGGAAAACGTGGTCACTGGAGGGCTACGGATGGGTGGTAGCAGCTGAGGGCCTGGGTGGTAAAGACAGCTGTGCAGATCTAAGAGCCTTGTTCCTCTTTACCCACTTGGTTCTTTGAGAGTTGGGGCAGTATTTGGTGAGCAGTAAAAGAATTAATGAGTGAATGGGTACTGCAGTAGTAGTTCTTAATCTATAACAGAGGGAAATATAGCTTATCAAATA